TGTGATAAACAATCACTCAAAGCGGAATATTCAGCCTCGCAGGTGCTAGTGGCCACAAAACGCTGTTTCAGGGACTTCCAATGTCGGTCCTGGTCTTTGCCAGATTAAACATGTGTCGCCTACAACTGTGGTTTATCCGCAACTTTGAACCAACGGAAAACACACATACCACCCTCCTATCCCCTCCTCCCAATATACGAGACTCTTTACTTTGGTGGACTGTCCCTTCCTGGCCTTATTTGTGACAAGAAAATTAAATGCAATTGCAACTCCAGTCTGTAGATAGTCAAAACTCTATTAAGGTTTCTCAGGATTACTGTCTGTTTAAGTTTCCTTCTGTTTTTTCAGTTTCTAGTGTTTTTTAAGAAGTATTTTTGTTCTCTCCAGATTGGGAGTTAACATTCATAAATCAAGTGTGTGCATGTGTGTGCTTAAGTACAGCATTTCATTCTGAAGTGTGTTTAGGATTGTTATTAATGCTGTTATAATTAAGATATGAAAAATTTAAAAAATCATGAGAATTCAATTTAATTGCATGCCAAAAAAGCAGGACTTCCACTCATCTCTGAACAAGCTGATTGATCATGGATTTGGGACTGCCAGGAGCAAAAAGAAAATTGCAGAAAGCAGCAAAGCTTTTTAAAGAACAGTGGCCCATCATTTGCTTTAGATGACCAGCAAATAGAACATAGAACACAAGATCTTCCCTGAATCTGACACCTAGGACTAGTATTCAGAGGTTTCAGCCCACACCTGGAAAGAAGGTGGCCTCCCTGGCTGTTTCCCTCCCTGACGTACTGCAAATGTTTCCCTCCCTGACGTACCTTGAGGCACTCAGTGGAGGCGTGATGAAGAGTCCCTCCTTGGACTCTCCTCCCTGTGGCGAAGTTGCTGAGAGAAGCAACTCAGGAATGGGGAAGGAAACCCAAGTAAGCCAAGGGAAGGGAAGACAGTTTGAACCACCCCCTCCCCTCCAGGAGCCGGCTTACTCGAGCTCCCTGCAGCTGCGGGAAACCTGAGCAAGCCAAGGGAAGGGAAGGCGGTTTGAACTGCTTCCCCTCCCCTCCAGGAGCCAGCTTGCTCAAGCTCCTTGCAGCCGCAGGAAACCCGAGCAAGCCAAGGGAACTCCCCTCCCCCAATCATTCCCCGCCATCCTAACTTACCCTGACTCGTGCTGGCGGTGGCGGCAGCGAGCGTGTGCTGGTTCCTGCTTCCCAGCCCTACTGGAGACCTCTGGAGGCGGGGCCTGGAAGGCAGACCAATTTAAAAGAGAGCCTCCCGCTCCTGCGCTGTGAAAAAAATTGCTGCGTCGGGCCCCTGAAATTGCTGCGCTGGCACAGCCCAGCACAGCTTAGCGGAACCTAGGCCACAAGACTGGAGGAGGGGAGATGTTATCCTAATTTTCAAAAAAGGGATAACCTAGGAAACTACAGGCCAGTCAGTCTGACCTCTATCCCAGGGAAGATACTGGAGCAGATTTTAATGGGATCAATCTGCGAGCATCTAAAGGACAACTTGGTGATTTGGGGAAGTCAACACAGATTTGTCCCCAACAGGTCCTGCCAGACCAACCTCATTTCCTTCTTTGATCGAGTGACAAGCTTACTGGATCGAGGGAATACTGTTATGTTGTTTACCTGGATTTTAGTAAAGCTTTTGACAGGGTTCCCCATGATGTTCTGATGGGTAAACTAAAATACTGTGGACTGGACTCTAGGATAGTTAGGGGGATACGGAACTGGTTGGAGAACCGCACTCAGAGAGTCGTTGTCAATGGCATTATATCTGAATGGAGGGAGGTATCCAGTGGGGTGCCACAGGGCTTGGTTCTGGGTGTGGAGGGGCTACTCATTAAATTTGCAGATGACACCAAATTGGGAGGAGAAGCAAACACACCAGAAGGTAGAGATAGAATTCAATGAGATCTGAATATGCTGGAAAAGTGGGCGAATATGAACAAGATGCAATTTAACAAGAATAAGTGCTGAGTTCTACATCTGGGTAACAAAAAATGAGGAACACGCATACTGGACGGGAGATACACTTCTGAGTAGCAGTGTGTGGGAACAAGATCTCGGGGTAAGGGTGGACCGAAAGTTAAATATGAGCAGCCAGTGTGATGCGGCAACAAAAAAGGCTAACACAATCTTGGGGTGTATCAACAGAGGCATAACATCCAAATCACAAGACGTCATAGTCCTGCTGTAGACTGCATTGGTCAGGCTGCATCTGGAGTATTGTGTACAGTTCTGGAGGTCTTACTTCAAAAAGTATGTGGACAGAAAGGAGTGTGTGCAGAGAAGAGCGAAGAGGATGATTGGGGGCCTGGAGACCAAGCCCTATGAGGAAAGGCTGAGGGACTTGTGAATGTTCTGTCTGGAGAAAAGGAGGTTGAGGGGGGACATGATTGCTCTCTTGAAGTATTTGAAGGGCTTTCACTTAGAGGAGGGCAGGGAGCTGTTCCTGTTGGCAGCAGAGGATAAGACTCACAATAATGGGTTTAAATTAAGGGCAAGAAGGTTCTGGCTGGATATAAGGAAAAACTTTTTTACAGTAAAAGTTGTGCAACAGTAGAGTCAGCTGCCTAGGGATGTGGTGTGCTCCTCCTTACTGGCGGTCTTTAAGCCGCATCTGGACAAACACTTGTGAGGGATACTGCAGGTTGATTCTGCATTGAGCAGGGGGTTGGACTAGATGGCCTGGATGGCCCCTTCCAACTCTGTGATTCTATGATACCATGATCTTAGTTTCACAGCAAACTATAATGTCATCCATGGATGTGATGGTCCATTGATATGCTCATATAGCATGCGTATGGTCTTATAACAGTCTTCTGGGACAAATGCAATACCAAATGGTAATCGAAGAAATTAGTCAACAGACTCAATTTGACCTTTCCTCTTTTAACTTCTATTGCCCAAATTCTGAAGAATCATCCAGATGCAAGCTCTCTAGTTGGCAATGTGATGTGATCATCGTTGATGTCTCTTAGATATAAGCATATAGTCAGCTGGCTATTATGCCTTTTCAGAAGTACTAAAGGGTTTATCCAGTCTGTTGGGTTTTTAATTATTTTTCACTGTATACAGGTCCTCCATCTGTTTGAGGTCAAATTTCAGTTCCTCTCAAAGGACAAATGACTCTTCCTGCACAGGTGGATAACAGATTAATGCTGCTTTGTTAACCTGAATACATTGTTGGCCTGGAAAATGCCCAGTCCTGTAAGCAAATCCTGGTCTCTTTATTTGAATGCCTTATACCCTTGATTAGTATGATACTGTAACACAAATGTGTTTAACCTAATAGTTTTTCACAAGCTGCTAAGCCCAATACTTTTTTGTTTGCAATGCTGTTTCCCATTATCTGTCCCAGAGTAACCAGAAATGTTGATTTTTGTGGATTCTAGTTTTGGCCTTACTGACAAACTTTTATAATCCTGTTCAGATAACATACTCACTTGAGCATCAGTGTCCAGTTTAGATTATATGACTGTCTCATTCATCTGCATTGGCAAAATCTAGCCTTGTTCTTTCTGCTTCTACTATACCAACATAAAACTAAACTTCTGATCCAGAGTATCTTCAACTATGTACACTTCGTTTTTGGTTTTTGTGCTCGGTCTGGCAGGTTCTTGCAAAATGATAGTGCTTCCCACAGTTAAAACAACGGTTTTCCAAATGTGTTACACTTTGTATGAACGTGGTGCACAATTTTTGCATGCTTGTCTCTTTTCCATTCCTCCCCAGCAGTTGGTTTTGAGGAAAGTTTTATTTTTGAAGATGACTGGTTTGTACTTTACTCCTCTAAATTCAGGGCATGGACAACACCTTTAGCTGAATTCACATCTTTGGCCTGTGCCTTGATGTGCACTTCACGACTTCTGGTGTATGTGGGGTTATATTTGACAGTATCAAACAGCAGTGTAGCAAAGTTGCTTCCTGTCAGGAGCAAGAAATACCTGCTCAGCAGAGGAGGCCAGTGGATGTGCAGCCTTGATCACTCTGAGGCCTGCTGAGGACTAAACCAGTCCAAATAAGACTTCTGTCTGGCAAGTACTTGAGCTATATGAGCAGCTTCCCTGGGCTGAGTTAGTTGCCTGTGTATTCAGAAATTTACCTGCAGCAATGTAAATGAAGTCCAGGAATAATTTCACAGCAAATCGTAGGAGTGCTCCATTTTTTCTTTTTTTCAAAAGAGCAACCACAGTTTTTCTTAGTGTTAAGGTACCTCGAACCTTTTCAGCACCCAAATCACCATCACTGCCATGTTCTTCTGCGCTGATGACATATACAATATACCCTAAGAACCAGTTTCTGGAATCGGAAGCAACTAGATGAAAGCAGTACTGGATCGGGTGTCCCATTTGTCAGATTTTTCTCCTCTTGTTCTGATTTCTGTGATTTCCCCACATTAATTTGCTTAAGTGCGGAAAAGGGTCAACAGCACCGAAACTAATGTTGGGGTGGAGGCAAGGTAGTCGGAAGGGTGGCCTCAGGCTGGGGCTGTACCTGAAACTATTTAAAGGCATGCTGACACCAGCATGTACTGATGATGACTAGAATTTTTCATATGAAAGAGCTGTGATGCAACCTATTTGCAGAAGGGAGGGGTTTTGAGCTTTTGTTTATTCAGTCCATCCCCTGTTGCCATCTTGCTGCAAAGGGCCTGCAAGGGTTAATGTAAAGGTAACAATGTACAATGAGCTGACAGAATTTCCCAGACATTTCCAGTATGAAGGCACTCAGCTGCTGTTATCAAATACTGTGATAATAGAATGCCTCCAAAACAGACACGTATTTCTGCCAGACAACTGCCCTCAGGCAAACTTTGAAAAGGCTGAAAGTTCCTTTGCAAGAGGGTAACTGGAAACACAGGGATCAGGGCCCTGGATTTTTCAGTCATGCTAAGCAAGTGTCCTATTGAGTATGTAGGATTTGCATACTACAGTCCAGATGAAATATTTTGGATGTGGCTCACAGGCTGTTGACTTCTTGTTTCAGGTGGATCTGTCATCTCTTAACCAGGAGCGTCTATGTGATCCCCAGGAGCCCTCAGGGAGGAAGTTGGGAGTGTCCATGGTCACTGCTGATGTTGGACTTGTCAGCATGATTCGGCAGGGAATTCTGGCATTGCAGCTGCTGCCCTGTAACTCCAGTGCAGGTTAGCCTGTTGCAGTCAGCCAGACTGAAGAGCAATGGGGCATTGAGGCTAGCCTCTGGCTCTGGACAGGAATACTTCATTTTAATTTATTTATATTTACATTTATATCCCACCCTCCCCACCATTCGGCAGGCTTAGGGCGGCTAACAACATACATAAATATACATTAAAATTCCATTAAAACTATTGATCAATATAAAATCATACTATATAAACATAACTTAAATTAAAAGATGGCGAATACTTGGAATGAATTTTGTGCAGTACCTTTGTCGTATGTCCTTGCGGAAGGAGCTATTTCACGTTTCTCTAGTTTAAAAGTAACTGTTTCTCTGTCCTGTTCATCAGCACCTATCTGTCTCAGAATTCTTGCATTCCATGAGAAACGTCTTCCTTCATCTAACTGTCTCTGCTTGTTATTTACAGGTATTATTGTGATCACAGATGGTGTCACCAGTGTCCCGGATGTAGCTGTCTGTGAGACGCTACTCAACCAACTGCGCAGTGGCACAGTGGCTTGTTCCTTTGTTCAGGTGCTGTAGGAATGGAATGGTGGCAGGCACTGAATTCCTTAGTATATATTGTGGCTTAATTGTGCAAATGTTGTGATGAAGGCCAGTCCAGGTTTAGAGGCAAACTGAGCAATTTCCTGGGGTGATGTCATATATAAACATTTTGGCAAGAAAAATGCTGCCTGCATATCTGGATTTATCCTCCTCCCGGTGGATACTTAAAGGTGAAATGGGGTTTCTGATCTGTAAGTGATGGTGCCTACATAAGAACATAAGAGACACCAGTGTTGGATCAGGCCAAAGGCCCATCCAGTCCAACATTCTGTGTCATACAGTGGCCAGAAATACCAGTTCCATCAGGAGGTCCACCAGTGGGGCCAGGACATTAGAAGCAAATTTGGGGTGATGTCTGGGTCAGATAAAATAATGCGGAATACAGTTTACTTTGTCTGAAATTTTAAAAATGTAAATAAGAAAATAGTATCCCAGTCAGTTTTGGTAATTTAGGGTTGGATCCTGACTAAACTGGCAGTTTCTAATGACTCCTCCTACTTCCTCCTCATGTTGTTTCTCATGGTCCCCATCCTCCAGGAGTAGCATTTTTTGGAGATCAGTGGGAGGGGGAGGCAGGAAAGTTCCTTTCTGAAATTAGAAAATTTAGTCTGGATCCAACCCTTAATGTTGTCTTTAGCGTGCAATTAGATATTGATTAGAGGTGTGATAACATTCAACTAACAAGTGCTCTACCACTACCTAACAAACTAGTAACCTAGTACTAGAAGTAACCTACTACATTCTCCTATGTTGTTAAAAACGTACTTTGAACTCATCCACTGGCAGTCACACATTTGACTCTTGCATTAACCATTTCTATGCATGTTTCATCTTGCTTTGACCAAGCCCTGCATTGTAAAGCCCCTACCTGGAGGTTGCACATAGCACTGACCTCAGATCAGCTGGATGTTTGAAATTTCACTTTTCTGTTAATGCCCTGGCATCTAATATTTATAATTAGATGTCAGTGCATTACTGTGAAAGTAAAATTTTAACTGTCCAGCAGTTTATTAATGCATCCACAGGACAAACAAAAGATGTATGTCAGCTTCCTTTAATAGCTGGATTGAAAGGCGGGAAGCTTGTTCATAAAGGTCATGAGTGAGAGATGTGGAAAGAAAGTTAAGACAAGTGTTGACACTTAATATGGGGTTGATCTGAATTTTCATTCTTTGCATCATCTCACTTATGGGCAATGTAATAATTTACATTTGCATAAGTATATACAAGCATTCAAATCTTGCAAGGCTAGTGATTGCATACTTGCAGATATGTCCATGAGACAATTGCTTTGGGTGTTGTAAAACAGTGACCGATTTCACACAAGAGCTGTGCCGCGGTCACACCTCCCTTTGCCCCGCTTCTATTGGTCAATTTCCCACTCGAAGCCGCGCAGCCGCATTTTAACCCGTGGCTTCGCCCGATTTTCCCCGCGGTTTCGTGATCCTCAAAAAACAGGATCAGGAAGCCGCAGGGAAAATCGGGTGAAGCCGTGGGTCAAAATGCAGCCGCGCGGCTTCGAGTGGGAAATTGACCAATAGAAGCGGGGCAAAGGGAAGCATGACCACGGCGCAGCTCTTGTGTGAAATCGGTCAGTATGTATGGAAACTCCCCTTTTGATGTCTGAATGGGCCAAGTGTGTGTATGTGTTTGAATGAATGATCAATTAATGTATGAAATGAAGGGTAGAAATTGTGCCAGAGAAAGGAATCAGTACTTGTGTATATTTTCTCTCTCACAGGTGGGAGGAGTCTACTCCTATGACTGCAGTTTTGGTCATGTCCCCAATGTGGAACTCATGAAGTTCATTGCCATGGCAACATTTGGCACATATCTTTCAACGTGCCCTGAGTTGGAGCCTTCTAGTTTGGACCTGAATGTCTATCACAAGGCTTTTCTACTGTACACCTTTCTACGCAGTGGGGAATCCATGAATCCTGAGTATTACTGTGGTGAGCTTAACTTGCATGGAATAGAAAGTTTATCCACCCTGTCCTTGCCAGCAGCAGAGGGATACAGACCCTGAACTAATCTGGTGGTTGATTGTGTATTAATGTTGCCTCATCTGGGTAGTAGCATGATGGCTTCATACCAGATTGTGGGTCTGTCATTTATTCTTTGTCTTTAAGAATATGAGCGGACAGAACTAGGCAAAAGCAAACTCAGCCATCTATTCCAGGTGCACCCTCTGGCAAACATTTGCTTGGGTTAAAATGAGGGAAGGCAGAGCACCTTCTGCTGTATGGTGCTGCTGTTCATAGTGATGTTCTCCATGCATAGGAAAGCCCAAAGGGAAGATTTATATCCTTCCATTTTACTGTGAACAAAGTAGATAACAATACGTATCTGAAACAATTTAATAAAACTAACCATACAAAACCAATATAAAGTGCTCAGTTTTGTTTTACAGTCTTTATTAAAAACTTAACAGAGAGGCTGTTCCTGTCACCTCTGCAAGCAGTACATGCCAAAAGATAGGAGCCGTCACTCAAATCAGATTAAGTCTGACAGAAGGACTGGCCCGTCAACAAATTCTGTTGACTTGATCTTAACAGACAGGAGGACTCATAAGGACAGAGGCAATTTTTTTGGTATGTGGATCTGTGGACATGAAGGTCTTTAAGGATCAGTACCAGTAACTTAAAGTCCAGTAGTATTTCAAAACCCAGCAACATTGCTATATCACTAGTTGGATATGATATCAGCATCCCAGCCCAGTGAACAATCAGGCAGCCACGTTCTGTACTAGCTGAAGTTTCCAGGTTGTCTTCAAGGGCAACCCCATCTACAGTGCTGTGTAAACAAGTCTGGAGGTTACTGATGCATGGGTCAGCATGTCAAGATCTGCTCTATCCAAAAACGTGTGCATGCAAGAGAGAAATTAAAGAACAAAACAAAAGAGCACTGTGCCACAACAGGAACTTTTTATCAAGAATTCAGTGTCTAACAAGACCCCCAGACTCTTCCTTTGTTTTGATAAAGACACCACCAGCCTAAAAAAGGGAGAGATGGGGCTGCAGCAGGTAGGGCAGCCTCCTCTGCCCCAGGCGGAAACCTGATAAAGAGGCTGGCCCAACTGGGAGAAGAGAGGAAGGACTGCAAGGAAAGGAGGCTGCTGAGGATGGGCCAGGGGAAGGGCTACCTGCAGGCAGCTTGCTCAAGGAAGGAGTGGAGATGGCTTCCAGTGAAGGAAGAAGCTCTAGGACTGGAGGCAAAGAGGACCGGGCCACAGAGAGCAGATGCAGCCAGAGCCACTCCCTAGGTGAGGCTGAGCCAACAGACTGGCTCCAAACCTAGGAAAGGGACTGAGGATTTCACTGAGGGACACTATTCCTTAACTATTTCTATCAGGCCCCGCACTTCAAGCAGGTCACACACTGGATCTGATCTTTGCCATGGGGCTAGATGTGAGTCCAATTAATATAGAGGTAATGCCTCTATTTGTTGGAATTGATTAATTATCTTTTGTAATGTTTAGAAGGTTTTACATTGTATGTTTTTCTAGATTGTTGTCACCCGCTCTGAGCTGGTTTCAGCTGATGAGAGTGAGCAGAAAGGGAACTCTGTGTGATGAGTGCCCCTGCCCTTGAGTGGCTATTGAGAACAAGAGTAAACACTGTGAAATCATCAGCCTTAAAGGTGTCCATCTCCAAAACTACTGACCTTCCTACTAGTAACACTGCTAACTTCCGTTTCAGCTTGTTCACTCTCATCCATTTGACCACATTTTCAAGGTACTGGTTTAATACAGAGACAGCAGCTCCTGGTTGCTTCGTTAAGGGAATGAAAGTTGGGTGCTGTCAACATCTGGAGTTACAGAATCAGTTATCAATATGCTGTTACTCAGTGGTTGCATATAGATGGGAACAAGACTGCACACTGAGATACTCTATATTGCAGTTCCCAGGGGAAAGATTCAGCCTCCCCGATGACCATTCTTTGTGACATTCCACAAAGGAAAAATTGAAAGCGTTAGAGGGCTATCCCTAAGATATAATGTTCTGTGCGGTATAGCAAGATGCTATGATCCACTGTATTAAGAACTATTGGCAGAACTATTAAGGTAGAGCTATTACCTCTGTCCATCTCCAAATGGAGATCATCCACTAGGGCTTCTAAAGCTGCCCCATAAATAGGGTTGGTGCCTGACTGAAAAGAATCAAGGAATAAAGTTTCATTCAGAAACTTCTGGAGGTCCTTTGCCTCCACTTATTCAGTAACTTTGCCCAAGAACGGAATACTTGAGCCTGATGAAATATTAGCCACATCACCTGATGTTTAATTATTTTTTTTCCAATGGGAAGCAAATTACAAAATCAATGGGGGGAAATCCTTTATCAAAGAAATGTTAATTATTTTAACAGTAACTTTCCCTACCTCATAGCAACTACATTTTAGAACCCATTATAGGTAAAGATCAAATTTGCCTCCACAATTTGGAGCAATCTAACTATCTCTGCTAGAGCAACCAGTCCAAAATTATTTTTTTACACACAGTGCATCAGACACCTCCCATATAGTCTCTGTATTAGAACTAGGAAACTGTTATCCCCTCAGAGCATGGGTGTTTGTCCCTCAGCCTACAGTTGCATTCCTGTGGTCTGCTTGATGGTGACTGCAAGTGACCCTCTCAAGGTGCCTTGGGGCCTCCTGTTAGGGCAGGTGTGAGAGATGTGGTGGAGGTGGCTGTTAATATGATTATTTGTTGTTTTTGTAGTGTCCCAGCATAGACTGTTCAATGAACACCTTGTTTCTGCAAGCAGCAACCCTGCCCTGGCTATGAGGCGGAAGAAACATACAGAAAAAGAAGTGCATGCTGACCTTATCAGCATAATCTCTGTCCGGTTACGAGAAGGTTATAGTATTCGTGAAGTCAACATTACAAAAGGTGACTTTTTAGTGTTATTTTGCTATGTGAAATTAGGCTAGTAAGCAGCCAATCTGAAAATTGGGAGTGCAGCTGGTGCACACAATGTACATGCCATCTGATGTCCTCTTATATGCCTCTTAACCTGTGTGGTTTAGTCCTGCAGTGTTGGATAGGAATGTGAAGAACAGTTCAGATTTCAATTCATCTATGAAGTTTACCATGTGGTCTATCTCCAGTCTGCCCCATGGTCTTGTTTTGAGGTTTCCTTCTCAATTTTTTGAACGAGAGGCAGGATACAAATGTACCAAAATCATATTTTCTTTCTCTTGCGCCTCTGCCTGTAAAAGGCTTCTTTTGTAGATGCTAGAAGCATCAGTAGTGCTCATCCTTGCCCTTTCTTGCTGTTTTTGGGAGACTGAGCAGGGTAGCCATAAGCCATTACTATCCATAATGCTTAAAGCTTATCTTTCTCCCAGCACAGCAGAGAATGCTTCTTCCCATTGGTATAACTGGAGCACTGAAAGGTGTCAGAGCCTCCGCTGCAAAGTGTGATGGTTGTCAGAGAAAGAAAGTGGCTAGACTCATGAGAATAGCTGCACGTCTCAGTACCTTTAAAGTTCAGTGTTGAGGGGTTATAGCCTGATTTGAGCTGCATTCAGACATAATGGCAAATCATGGTTTGTTATTGTATATGTTAAGTCCTTATGAATTAATGACTTTATGAATTAATGATCTCCAGAATGTCTTATCATTAACAGCCTTGCTTAGGTCTTGCAAACGAAGGGCTGTGGCTTCCTTTATTGCATCAGTCCATCTCATGTTGGGTCTCCCTCTTTTCCTGCTGCCTTCAACTTTTCCTAGCATTATGGTCTTTTCCAGTGACTCTTGTTCTTTGGTCACGTTATGAGAAGACAATAGGCTCAGATGAGTTGTTTTATTTTCTAGGGAGAGTTCAGGGTTGGTTTGATGTAGAACCCACTGATTTGTCTTTTTGGCAGTCCATGGTATCCATAAAGCTCTCCTCCAACATCACATTTCCAATGAATCAACTTTCTTCCTGTCAGCTTTTTCATTGAACTGAAACCGAAGGGGGGGGGGACCCAACCTTAGGGAACAACAAAGTTGGGTACTCAAAAGGTTGGATGAAAGGGAAAAAAATTGAGAAATAAATTAAACAAAATATATGTATTACAAAGCTCACTAAAACTGTGCTTTAAAAACATTGGCACAATCTGCCCTTGAAGTGGCAAATATTTGAACTCAGAAGTCCTGAATTTATATAACCCAATACATTTCAATATTTCTAGGTTAAAAGCCTTGAACCAGTAAAAGAGGACCAATCATTCAATATACCTAGGTTGATAACCTTGAACAGTAAGACACAGGGAGAGGAAAACAAACTTGACCCAAAAACTGGAATCAAGAACCACATGGGTAACCACAGTTTGAGGTACATGTAACAATAATACATATTACAGTAAGATAACCAATAAGTTAACACTGGACCAAGAAAAGGAAGGCTGTATAAAAGAGAAAAAGAGAAAATTGAATATGAATAATCAAATATTTTTAACTTACAGTGTAGTAAAAATGGCTATATTACTTACTTAAGCAGCAAGATGTCTTTGAGGCCTCTAAAGATGACAGGTGTGCATTTGGCACCAGACACATGACTTTCATCTTTAGAGGCCTCACAAGAATCTTTGTCTTGTGTCTATTGATCTTGCTGCTTATTGTAATATGTATTATTGTTACATGTACCTCAGACTGTTTGACCTCTGAAGAAGGCCCCCAATAGGGCGGAAATGCGTCAGGTCATGTGTATTGGCCCTTGTGTTCAGGCCACTTGAACTTTTTAACGAGGCTTTCATTGGCCCCTTATTTGTTATTAACTGTCTTTCTAATAAATACATGTATTTTTGTATACTATAAGTTTCAACTAGGTTTTTAATATTGGCTCTTTATCAGACTTCTTTGATAACCTTGAACCACATTAAAATCGGACCAAACATGTTTTGGCCTGCAAGGCCTTGCTTAGTGGTCAAATTTTTGTATATACATGCACACTATGACATATAAACATGTATTAGTGTCAAGGAAGGTTGATTATAAGGGATTCCAAAAAAAAATTCTCATCTAAACTTTGGATACCCAGCTTTCTTCAGTATCCAATTTTCACACCCATATATAGTAATGGGGAATTACTATGGGATGAATTGTTTTGATCTTGACCACCAGTGATGCATCCTTTCACTTAAGAATATTATCTGGCTCCTTCATGGCTGCCCTTCCCAGTCTATTTCCTTCTGATTTCTTGGTTGCGGCCTCAATTTTGATTGATAAGCCAATGAACAGAAAATCTTGAACAATTTCAGTTTCTTCATCTTGTATAATTCCACAATAGTCATTACTTTTGTCTTCTTGATGTTCCACTGTAATCCTGCTTTGGCACTTTCTGCTTTAACCTTCATCAGTAGTCGTTTCATGTCTTCAGTATTTTCTGCCAGCTTGGTGTAGTGGTCAAGTGTGCTGATTCTAATCTGGGAGAACTGGGTTTGATTCCCCACTCCTCCACTTGTAGCTGCTGGAATGACCTTGGACAAGCCATCTTCTTCTTTTTCTAATATGGCGTCATCTGCATACCTCAAATTGTTAATTTCCTTCCACCAATTTTCACTGCACCTTTATCTAAAACTAATCTAGGTTTCCTTATGATATGTTCTGCAGATAGACTGAACAGATGGTTTATTATTATGAAGATGTTAATCTCTATTTGGAATTCTGTTATGTAAATGAGAAACAAACTGTAGTTTGTGGTCTAGATGTAAAAACTATGGGTTATTACAACTCATGTACTGGCCGTGGTGGGTGGCTGGAAGGAAAGCACAGACCTGAGGACTTGCAAGACTCATTGTCAGAACAACAATCCATGGTTTGTTGTAAGGTCTGAATGCAGCCTCTATTTATGCAATGCTAAGAAAAAAAAGTGCAGGTTTAAAAAAAAATAAATTAGAGACATGTAATAGATAACATGATTAAAATCTTACAGGTTACAGTTTCAGCAGAATAGATAATTAATTTTCAGCAGGTCTGTGCACTAAGGTGGAAGGATGTATCAAGTGCGTTGGCTTGCAGGACTTTCTTAAAATGTCACTGTGACATTGGTCATCACCTGTTTATCAAGGCAATCATTTAGCAGATTGACCACAAACATTTAATAACAGCCACCATAAGTACTGAAAAGCCATGGACTGAGTACCAGTTCACAGATTCTTGAAGTTGTGAATGTTATGTAAGTGGTATAGTTGGCTTGCATGCATCCCCCCCCCCCATTCTGCAAACAAGTAAAATGAAATGCAGACTTGTTTATATTTATTCAAATGCACAGTGTCCTGTTTATTCACAATGCTTCTCTTTCTACTTCCTTTTGAGGTGGGAATTGGACATAGATGTTATCTCAGATGCCATGGTGGTGGAGATGGCTACATGAGCTTGCTCGCCCCACTATGCATACAGTCTTTCTGGCTGTGAGATTACATGGCCAAGCACAGAAAAATATAAGAATATACCAATGCTGATGGTCTTCCTCTTGTATTTGCATAATAATTTCCAAAGCACCAAAACTCAGCTTCTAACAAATAGTGTTCTGGCCTCAGGCTTCCTGGTCTGCTGGTCTCCTTGACAGCCAGGGCTTAGTTTGTGAATGATCACTTAGCAGAGTCTGGAGCTGGCTCTAGCACCCAAGAGTTGTGCCCTCTGTAAACTGGTTGATTCCACAAGGCTGTCTTCCTAGGCCTCAGCCTGAATAGGCTGGGAGGTAGTTGTCCCCAGCTGCACTGCCAGAAGGTGCTAGAGTTCCTGAGGTTGTGCTGCGTTCTGGCCAGGATCCTGCAAGGAACTACCACCATCACAGCACTGTTCTAGCTGAACTGCTAGATTCTGTACAGCCAGTCTTGTGCCTCACCTCCTCTGTGCCCTCTGCTGCCATCATTCCTGCAGAGTGGGAGAGAATCCTGGGGTGCAACAGGCCTGGGTTCGAGTGCTGCACAGTGAAGGCTTGGGAGCTGCCTCAGGGGCTCATGACAAGGTTTATCTTGCAGGCTCTGGCGTGGTGGCCTCTGGTGCTGGTAGTTCATGGTCAGCAGAGGCCTATACGGTGCTGGTCCCTTCGGCACTCCTCAGCCACCAACCTTGTCTCCTTGGCCTCATCCCTTGAGGACTCTGAGTTGGAGTAACTGAGCTGGGCGGGGGGCGGGGGGGGGGACTCATGACTAATAGGGCTTCTTACATTAGAAGATGTTATTTGTAATAAAACATCACCACCAAAGGGATATAAGCATTCCATATTATCAGCTGCAGCACTGCCACTGTTATTTTAAAAGTATATAGTGCCCATGGTGTGCTCTTCAAAATGTTCTAGGAGAGGAAGATCTCAAATAGTTGTAGTAAGAAGCAGGGATGCTGGGGGTTGTAGGCAGAAAGCAGCAGAGCAAAGTGAGGTTAAGATCATTCTGGGAAGGCTTTGAGAGAGGATGTGAGGAAAGTGGCTTGACAAAGTGAAAAGGGGAGTTTCTTTTTTTTATTGCTGCCCTTTGTTTTTGTGTGTGTATGTGTCTGTTTAGATTCTAAGCTTGTTAGGGTGGGCTCTCCTTTTTATTCTGCTTTAGGCACTTAAGAGAGCACTGCGACAACTGCTGATAATTATTATTTTTAGTGTTATTATTAATAACAAATATGTTGAACACCAAGACAACACTTAATACAAGTGGGGACCCGCAAGAAACTTGGGGGAGGAGCTATCCCTTCCCCCCCACCTTTGCTTCCTCCCCTCTCCCTCTACTTCTCTCATCTGACTCTTTCTCCCTCCTGCCACCCCTTTTCTTACTCCCCTTTCCCTCCATGGCTGTCACTTCCTCTCTCTTTCTGCCCCATCACTATCCCGGCCTCCTGCCTCCCCCCCACCCCGCCCAGCAGCAGCAGTAGTATGGGGTGGCAGCTGTCCAGGAATCACAACAGATCTCCCAACTACAGAGATCAGTTCCCCTTAGGGTTGCCAGCTCCAGGTTGGGAAATTCCTGGAGATGTCAGGGTGAAGCCTTGGGAGGGTGAGGTTTGAGGAGAGAAGCGACCTTGGCAGGGTATCATGCCATAGACGCCACCCTCCAGAGTAGCCGTTTTGGAACTGATCTCTGTCATCTGGAGATCAGTTGTAATTCTAGGTGATCTCCAGTCCTCTCCTGGAGGATGGCAGTGCTAGTCTCCCTAGAGGAAATGGCTGTGTTGGAGGATGAAGTCTACGGCAATAGACCTGCCTGAGGTCCCTCTCCTCTCTAACCCCACCCTCCCCAGGCTCCACTCCTCAAATCTCCCGGAATTTCCCAACCTTGCCTCCTTCCCAGCCACCAGCCAACCTACCCTTATCTGCCCCTCTGTCTTCAGCTTTCTGTCTGCCTCCCTGCAGCCTCTACCTGGAAAAGCTATTACAGTCTTTCTCCACAGTGGGGACCAAAGCACCTTACATTATTCTCTCCTCCTTTTTATCTGCGGAACAACTCTGTGAGATGGGTTAGGCTGAAAGTATGTGACTGGCCAAAGGTCAGCTACTGAGCTTCCACAAGAAGATGTGGTTTGAACCTAGGTCTCCCAGACCCTACTTTGAAGCTCTAACTGCTACACCACACTGGCTTTCACAGGGTGGCTGCTGTTGAACAGTAGCAAGCAGCCGGGTCTGGTTGAGTTGTGCAAGTCGGATGGCATCAAGTCACCCAGAGGGTGCTGCCAGGCTTAAGGTTGCCAGCCTCCAGGTGGGACCTGGAGATCCCTCAGAATTACAATTTAACTCCAGATGACAGAGATCTGTCCTCCTGGAGAAAATGGCTGCTTTGGAAGGTGGACTCTGGCATTATACCATGCTGAGGCCTCTCTCCTCCTATTCAGACCTTGCCACAAAATCTCCAGGGATTTCCCAACCTGGACCTGGCGACCCTAGTCAGGCCTGGCTCCAATGAATCCTTTCCTCAAAGGCCAAAATAGGTCTAGAAAGGGACCTGCCCCTTCCCCTTCCTTTTTGCTCACAAAAACCCAGCCTGGAATACAGCTACTGAGGGAATCTGTGTTATAACTACAGGTGCTCCTTTGATTATTTTCAAATTTTTAAACTTCCCAACCTTTTTTTTTTAATTTCACATTTTTCTGCAAACCTGGGGCCCTTTTCAGGTTTGTAGAAAGATCTGTCTTGCCCGTTCACAGCTGTAGTAATCAGATTTAAGTATCCAAAGATTTGACCAACTTTGCTGTTAGGATATAAGGTAAACAATACGTTTCTGAGTGAGTCTGCATACATATTTTTAATCTTCAACTATCTGATTGCAGTGTTTAGATTTTCATGGAATTCAGAATTTTGTGGCTAGAATGGAAAGATGCATGTTACTGTGAAGTGATAGGTTGCTGTAGACTGCAAAGGCTTTTTTACATCTGGAAGTTCTGTAGGTCATAGTTTTGAAAGATATGTATCTATATTTTGTGCTTCTGTCATCCAAAGCTGATGCAGCAGAGAATATAAAGTATACAAAAACATGTTATTCCAGCAGAATAATTGAAGCTTTAGTGAGTTTGGGGTTTATGGTCATTTTCAAAGCAATATTTGTCATTAAATTTTGCTAAATGAAGAAATAAATAAAACAGGCATTGCTGTCATAGAATCAGAAAAGTCAATTCTTTCTTTAAAATGCTTTAAAAATTGAATTGCTCTATTGGAATAAAATGTTTTACAGTTACCTTCTTGGTTCTTTGCATGAGATGAGGGATTAAAGCTAATCTCAGAGTCGCTGCTGAATCAGGTTCCTTCTTGGGCCATAATAGTAGGGAAGCTTTAAATGATTTTCCTAGTCGCTTTTGTGCAGAGATTTTATGGGATATTGATCTATTGGGGGAGAGACAGAGGCTTGGCTAAGTGTCCCTAGATCCACGTGCTCTCAAATCACACTATGGAAAAATAACTGTAAAGGAAAATGTGTGAAGGAAGATAGCCAATAAAAGGGTGAACTGCCAAGAGTCTCTGTTAAGAAAAACCAAACAGTTGTGAGTGTCTTACTCCGGATCTGGTAGTAGCTTTGATATGGTGTGTTTTAGAGGCATATATTCAGGACCCCTTAGGGATGAAGCATGTCTTTATTCCTAAGCACATTGCAGCTAAGGCCTTGAGGTGGGGCGAGTGTGGGTGCAGAGCTATAACCCTCACAGGGCCACAATTCTTCATAGTCCCACTGTATTTATTGCAGGTGGTGCTCAGTTAGAAGTGAAGCTAGTCCTGTTGTGGAAGCACAATATGAGGATTGAGTACTTGGCAGTGTCTTCATGGCCTCTAGATCCTTCCAAACGTAGCACGTGGGTTGAAGTGACTATGGAAGGCAGCTATGACATCTTGCATGACATCAGCTGCACCATGAGGAAGCCCATCACTAGCCTGTACCGCACAACTGTAATTCGCCGCTTCTGGAACACCCTGCAGAGGTGAGGCTGGCTTCGCAATAAGGTTTGCTTGCGCTTCCCCCAGTAGTGGAATGGGACCCCCCCCCCCCCACACACACCCCCTTCCTGACTGGTCCTTTCAGCGGGTTCAAGCAGCACACATCTCTGCCCAGTTGAAATAGTGGTACATAAACTGGTCTTTGAATGAAGATTTTTTTTTCTGACTTAAGCATTGCTGTCTTGCCTCTGCTCTTAAAAGCATTTTGTTCTCTGATTTCCTATGTGGGAGAGAAGATAACTTCATTATTGGGCAAAAGGCTCAGCTCCGCTTATGGGGAAATAACCAGTGGGGAGACAGTAATGATCCCAGGCAGATTAATGTTTTCTTAGCACTGATGCAATGTGATACTGTGTGTCTTTGAAACTGGTTGCAGTGATTTTACCTTTTCAGCATCAACCAAACCGACCAGATGCTGGTTCATCTGCAGTCATTTGATAATGTCCCAGAGCACTTCACCATCCCTGAAAGCACCAGAAACGGGGTGCCATTGTTCTACATTCCTCCAGGATCCACCACACCGGTATGCTGTCTTCTCACCCTGTACATTTCTTAAAAGATTGGAAACACGATTCTCACATCTACTTTAGCAGCTGCCTATCTGGACAATTCCTTCCCCCCTCCCCTTGTAGAGATCTGAGGTTGTGCTGTATGTTGATATCAAAGGGTGGGAGAGCCAGGCATTTAACCCTTTTGGTGAAAAAGAAGATGACAGTATCATGCTACATGTAAGAGCCATAGACTCCAGCCTATGCATTAGCCTAAACTTTAATAGACAAGAGGAGGGTTCTGAATAGACCTGTTTAGTATTGCTGTCTGACCCAGGATCATCTTGTTGTTCAAATATTCTCCTTTGTCTTATCCAGATCTACAATGAGAAAATGTATATCTTTGAAGGCTGTTCATTAAAGATCCTGAAAGCAGCAAACTGAGAGCAGCTCATTTAAAACAATTATCACAGACTAAGGTGTTTTCCACATGGGGACAGGCTTGTATGGTTTTCTTGTTCCTGCTGCTGTTGACCTGCCAGTACAGTGCAGCAGCAGTAAGACTTCCACATGGCAAGTTTCCCCCATTGTTTTCCTGCCTAAGCTCCCTGGTAGCAGCCCCACCCCAGGCAACCAGGGTTTTTGCAGGTTTTTTAAAATCGGCAATTCAATCTATGTATCAGGTTCTCTGAATTCCCAGCTTTCATTTTAATAAGTAAGTCTCTAGCTCCTTTAGTTGCAGAGATAGGCCTTTCCTTTTATATTTTCACAATAAAAAGGCTAGAAACTTTAAAAAAAATGAATGTTGGAGATTCCTAGAACATGATACACTGATGGCTCTAATTTTTAAAAAATGAAAGAGCCCCCTAATCATGTGGTGAATGGCCACCATAGGGGTTAGGAGCTGTCATGTTAGCAGAATCAACTTTTCTATCCACATGGCAACTCTCCAGGCTTTGCTGTGATCTTTGCTAAATCTTTGCAGCAAAGCAAGTTTGGGAAGGATTGGAGAAAAGCTGCTGAAACCCCAGGAGGTTCACAAATGCACCTCAGTGCTGTGGGGAAGTGGGGGGGGGCCTCACTTCCAAACAGCATCAAATCTGGGGCAAATGACTTATATTGAAATGGCCTAACCTATCACAACTTTACAGAAAGTCATTAGGTTGAATTCTAGTAACCTCCAGAGTATCTGTCTCCATTATCAGCTAACTAGGTAAATTAAGGCCCCGTTCACAAGGCGAATTTGCCGTGGGAGAGCCACGGATGCCGGGTGGATTATTCGTGTGCAATCACACCGCCACATCTGGCAAGTGTAGCGCACCCGTGGCTTCCCACTGAAAACCCGCAGTTAAAAAATACCTGCCAAGAAGTACTAGCAACCCATTTGCCACGGGCTGCTGACAGAATCGGGTGGTGTGATTGCTCCAGCATGCAGCTATTCCCTCCAGCCGTCCTCTTTGCCGCTGCCGCCGACCGACGAAACCCCGCTGCACCGCCGTCGTGTCTGATCACATAATCGCGGATCAAACTGCGACGGCGCAAACAGCCACACACACACACACCCGCGTTATCCGGCCCGTGTGACCGGGGCCAATATAATTTTTTGTTTGTATTTATATTTACTGTGCTACTTCTGATGTATCTGCATTGATTTGGCTGTGGCTGCTGGTCAAAAAGATGTTCCTTATGGTTATTCTGTAGGCAAAACCTACTTGCTCCTTTTTAGGTTCTCACACAGTTTCCTGCTTTGAGCACATGTAATTCTTTGTGCCCCTTCCTGCAAACTCTACACAGGAAGAGAGGAATGTTCCTCACAGCCTAGCCATCACATTGGTGGTTCTATGTATTAGTAGCATTTCTAACTTAACCAGTTATTTGTAAATGTTTTCTAAATATTGTTGGTTTTGAGCAGAGTGTGGATAATGCCACAGATATAGTACATTTGGCTAATTCATTTATCTCCCACTCATGAATGTTGCAGTCATTTGACCACCATATAAATAACATCAAGGACTTAACAGTTTTCCATGGTCTGTCAGTCATAGGCAGTCTGATAGGAGCTCTTTTCATGACCAGAGTGGGAGCAAATGGCAGAGTGCTAGGGGGGAAAGGTTTGAGACATTTCTTGGTTTGTTTTCACTATGTACTGAATATGCTCTTAAGAGAGCCTTCTCACATGTAATGGATAGAACCCAGACCAAATAGTGGCAGTGATTAGTGAGTCTGCTGTTAGATTTCTGACCTAATAAAGATTATGAGCTCCTTTGGGATTGTATCATTTACCTTTGTGCTTAAATGCTTATCGTGGCTCTGCCTTCTGGAGGGGAACGGGGCTTCTCTCCCTCGTAGAGTAAATATAAGGTACTTATGGAGGATTTTGTTTGTTTCAGGTACTGTCGCTGCAGCACAGCAGCTCAGACTCCAGCCACTCACAGTTTGCTGCTTATTGGAAGCCCATCCTTTCCATGGATGCCAATTTCTGGCAGCGGTGGCTGCATATGCACCGCATTGTTATTCTCTTGGAGCATGACATGTACGTGCAGGCTGGGTTGCTGGGGGGGCTCCCGTTGTGGAAACATACACAGAGATCTCACGTGGCAGAGTGCCAAATTCGCTGTGTGTTGTTTTGTTTGTAGTAACTGTTTGGTATATTCACAGGCCAGTTCCAAAGCATTTGCACACCCCAGGCAGCAATGGACGCTATAGCACTATCCAATGCCGCATCTCGCACTCTGCGCTAACTTCTTTGCTCCGTGACTGGAGTAGTTTTGTGTTGGTGGAAGGCTACTCCTATGTCAAGCTCATGTGCAGGTGAGGTCATGAAATGGGTCTGAGCTGCTGCATCCTAAGGCCAGCCCAGAAAGAGGTGGAGTCTGAGGGGAGGGGCTACACTCATGAACTCTCAGCAGTTAGGCGTAGCTTATGCCTGTTGCCACCAAGTCATTGGGACAGTGCTCTGAAGCCATCCTGTTGTTCATCTATGCCATGATTTCATAACTAGAGATCAGCAGACTGCCATTTTGAGAGCACAGAACAATTCCAACCCTGCCCCCACACCACTGACCTAGCCTTTTTCTTTTTTTTAAGAGAGTAGTAGCTCTAGTTTAGAAATTCTTTGTCAGGCCTATATTGAGGCTCATTGCCGTTGTGAGACTATTCCACCTGCTATTGGCTGTTCCTCTGTTCTACAGCTCAGAGGATCTGCTTCCTTTTTCATTTTATGTGGTTCGGATAATTTCCAAAGCCCCCTGCATGGTTCTTCGGCTGGGATTCCCAATTGGGACACTTGCAAAGATCAGGAACAAAGTAAGTACCAGATTTCTTTCCTTGGGTCTTGGTAAGTTTTTTTGTGTTCTTTTTGCTGTCAAGCCACAGCCAATTTATAGCAGCCCCAAATTGTTTTCAGGGCAAGAGATGTTCAGAGGTGGTTTGCCTTTCCCCTGCCTTTGCGTAGCATCCCTGGCGGTCTCCCATCCAAATGCTAACTAGGGCCAATGCTGTTTAGCTTCTGAGCTCTGACAAGGTCGAGCTAGCCTGGGCTATCCAGGCCAGAGCAGTAAGTATCATTGGTGTACACTAAAAGAGAGGAAAAACATATTTATTCAACAAGCATTGTCTGGGTAGGCATCTGTTGGACTGATGTTGAAAGCTTAAGCACTTCCAAAGAGCAAAGCTTCCACCTGGGCCTTTAACTGCCTCTGAATTCATTCTTGGGCTTATAGATTAGACGCTTCACTTCCAGGGTAAGTAACAGTGGAATTAGTACCCAAAACTGGCTGGAATACCTCAACCTCTCCGTTCCCAATGATAGGAAGGCTTTTGGAAGCAAATTTCTTTCAAATTGGCATGGCGTTTCTGAAGCTGATACAGATCTTGCTGGACATGCTGGCAGTTCGTAGGCTCTGAAAGAAACTCCCTTGCAGGGTTGTTGGTCTATTATTTTAAATGATCTCTGATGTGGAAGGTAATACTGCTGGCCAGAGCAAGGTAGTATTGGAGAGATTGTGGGATTGAGTCAGCTAGTGATGAGTTTGTTTATATTTGATTTCTGCAGTCTTTCCTCATAAGCACTTAAAATGGAAGATTTCAAAAAGGAAGTAGAAACCGTGATCCTCTGCCTCACATCAACCCCACAGATCCCCTCTCATCCCTTCCCTTCTCTTACCTGGCAGTGGGCAGGGGGTGGTGGTGGCAGCAACAGAGCATCTTTCTGGAGAACTATGAGCAAACCCTGACGCGAGTGAGAATAAACCCAGGCCAAATGTGGAAGTATCTCAGCTCCCCTCACATTGGGGTGAGGTGTGATGAACTTGTGGGAGCTTTTATTCCAAACTCTCCCAATTTGAATGTTGTTCATTGTGGCCTCTGTAGAGAGAGGTCCTAAGAACAGCTCCCTATCAGTTGTTCTTCATACATAAGAAGTTCTTTTTGTGTATGTTTACTTCAACAGATTGTGGAAGAATTACGAGATCGTATCCTGCAGCTGCGCTTTCCCCACAGAGTTCAGAGTAAGGAGGCCACTCCAAAAGTGAAGAGGAAGGTCCTGGGCAGCAGCTCGCCATCAAAGTCACCTCCTGTGTCTGGGGCCCAACCAACCCTGTCAGACAGGCCTTGCCTTATAGCACTGCACAAGCCTTTGGAGAAGCTCCTCATCAGGTAGCAGGGATGGGGCATATATATTTGTTTACATCCAAAGAGCATTCATTCCTGAGAGGTTTACTGGGTCTGCAGCAGGCAAGCTTTGGGGTGAAGCAATAAATGCAGACATGGGTGTGCTGAATGTCAGAATTTTTTTGCAGGTTGAGGCTTCTGGAACTTGTGAGTGTTGCTGCCAGAGGCAGTAAACAGCATGTATTTTGTCAGCCAAGGACCCTGGCTTTTTAAGAAAGCAAAGGTCAAAAGGATGATTTCAGAGGAAAAGCAGACCAAGGAGTTGTCACAGAGTTGTCTTCTATTACTCATACAGCTCCTTCTCCCTGTTTTATATTTACTATTCTTTGTCCTACTGGTGCCTCAATCCTAGTGTTTGTGTTCTGCACTTTTTCCCTTTCTACGCTTGCATTTTACTGCTCCTGTTTCCCCCCCTCCCTTTTAAAACCCTAAATTCTTTCTGGAATTTAAGAAACAGAACTAATTCTTGAAATAAGTTTTGGGTTTTTGGGTGCTTTTTTTTTTGCTTTCAAGTCACAGCAAACTTATGGTGACCCTGAAGGGTTTTCAAGGCAAGAGATGTTCAGAGGTGGTTTGCCATTGTCTGCCTCTTTGTCATGACCTTGGAATTCCTTGGTGGCCTCCCATCCAAATACTGACCAGGACTGACCTTGCTTAACTTCCAAGATCTGACAAGGTTGGACTAGGCTGGGCTATCCAGGTCAGGGGAAGTATTAATTTCTGGAAGCAGAATTTACATTGTCTTAATGTAGGATTTAATTGCTTCTGGTATATCTGCCAGTCTGCTCATAGTCCTTTTCCTGCACAGTAGGATTAGTATGGCTTGTGTGATGGATGGAGCTGAAGCTTAGAAGACACAGAGGTGGCCTACCAGCCCCTCAAAGTGTGGTTCATGGACAGCAGCAGTGACCAACCTAGAGTACAGAAAGCTGTGCGGCAGATTTGCTTTCTCATTTTTGCTGCTTTCTCTCTCTGTCCAGATACGAGAAGCTACCCTCTGACTATCGTGTTCCATGCCTTTTACCACTGGAGAATCCCCCCATGTCAGGCCCGCTTACCATGGTAGCTAACCGTACAGCTTCCTCCACCTTGGCCTCCTTGTCTCGCTATTTCTATCACCAGCGCTGGATCTGGTGTGTGCAGTCAGGGCTGGTACCTGCCTTGCCCATCACAGCTGTGGCACAGTTGCTGTCCACTCTAACAGAGTAAGTGCACGTCTCATCTGCAGGGCCCAAAGGGGGCCTGCAAAAGTACTTGTGATGTGATGTTAAAGACAGTTTGGTTGTATATGGGTCATTTTTGTATGAGAGTGAGTCAGTTACCGTTGCTAGCATAGGATAGATTGGTGTAAAGATGCAACTGTGTTTTCAGTAATGGAGGGAGGAAATAGGGAATATTGAAATGTCAAGCACTGCAGTGGGTGCGCAGTAATTACCACTGTTCTCTTCCAATTTGCAGAGTTCGTCTGTCTGAGGGCTTTCATTTTGCATCCAGTGGTGATGGGATTATCAACATGGTGTTGGAGTTCCCTATGCGGGTAAATCTTTTGTTTGATAACTGGCTCTGAAAATGCAGTATTATCATATTCCCAAGCAAAAGCACATCTCCCAGAGGTTTTTGTTGTTCAGTCGCACAGTCGAGTCCGACCCCATGGACCAGATCACGCCAGGCTCTCCTGTCTTCCGCCGTTCTCTGAAGTTTGCTCAGTTTCATGTTCGTTGCATCGGTGATACTGTCTAACCATCTCATCCTTTGCTGTCCCCTTCTTCTTTGACCTTCTATCTTTCCCAGCATCAGTGTAGATACAGAAAAAACACATGCTAGATCTGTTCTTGACTTACCTCACTGGCTCTGGCCAGTAAAACATGTTGAGCCATGGAGTTGTATCTGGTGCAGCAAGGTGGCTGCAAGTCGTAGTGCTTGGCTGCTTCTCTCCTTGCGTTTAGAGTGCAGGATGGTGCCTTGGAATAAAGGTAATAGGGTAGTAGAAAAGGCTCACATTCTTTTCTTCCACAGAGCAATTCCTCAAGAGACCATGGCAGTGAGACGCTCACTTGCATTGTCCAATATGTGCTATTTCCACCACATTCAACTTCTACTAAAGACAGGTAAGGGGAGGGAATCCCATCAGGGGAATCCAGGAAGGGATCCTGCCACTGCAGGCAGGAAAAGGGACTCATGAATGCTATTGGAGTTTGGGTGTAGTAAACACTAAGGCTTTGGGGAGCAGTAAGGGTCATTGTGGTGGAGCACTCAGGCATGATCTGGCCATGCTTGGTTGTGGAAAGTGCCTTCAGGTCACAGCCAATGTATGGCAACCTCCTAGGGTTTTCGAAGCAAGAGAGAGACCTTCAGAGGTTGTTTGCCATTGCTTCCCTACATGTAGGAACCCTAGACTTCCTTGGTGGTCTCCCATCCAAGTACCACCAGAGCTGACTCTGCTCAGCTTCTGAGATCTGACGAGATCAGGTGAGCCTGGGCCATCCATTTCAGGCCCTGGCCATGCTTACATTATCTCATTTGCCTTCAAGTTTCTCCACAGATGATGACAATGACACAGAGGTAGAGGCCATTGAGGTGGACATGGAGCTGAACCTTGTCACAGAGTGCTGGGTGGAGCCACAGAGCGGCTATGTGGATAGTTCATCAGACAGCTGGCAGCACCTGCATGGCCTGTCTTACCAGAAAATCCCCAAAGCGGTATGTTTCTGTGGTAGGGGAAGTATAGGGGACGTGGAACCCCTGGGATCATTGCCTTGAAGGCCAGGGGAAGGGAGTCTTGTCAACATGCTGTTTGGGTAGGGAGCCTTTGCTATGACAACCAGCACAGCTCAAGTAACTGTTGCTGTAATAACCACTTACCTTATCTCCCCACATCTTGACCATATCTGGTATCTTGGGTGTCTTATTTGAAAATGGATGGATTCCATAGTTATATGGCTAACAATTGTATAGTTGGGCACAGTTTGCCTCATAGCTCTATGCCTTGAGTGCCATTTGACATACTAGAGCCATTTTGACCTACTTGTAGCCAAGTTGGCCAGCCTTGTTGTAGTGGCACTTGCAGAAGACCATTGTAATTCGAGGAGCAGTTTCTCCATCTGTACCCAAGATGCCCTGTGGGTCAGACCTGAAGAGGTTATAGGCACTGAAGATACACTCTCAAAAACATGTTTTCTTCCTTATTATTCACATATCTCTTGTTATTGCACTTTGGGAATGGGTTTTCATGTTAAGCTGATGGACCTCATATTGGAATATAAGGAGTATCTGTATTGGACACTTGCTGCCCCACACTGTTTATCAGTTGAACTTGGGATGTATTGCTTCCCTCCAAGGTCAGTTATGGGGAAAGCATGCACATATGCACACAAATGAAAATTATGTTATCCTAAAATAGTATAAAAGTCCCTGGCAACCATCCTATTATTGAACCTCTACTCAGGCTGGACCCCAGAGCAGTGCTGGGTAAACCAGCCATTCATAGGAGTCCACCTGCTGTCATTCTTCAGGGTTCCCAGTCAGCAGAAGGGGTGTAAGGGTTTATTCTTTGTTTGTTGTGACCTCTTGGTTTCCTTTCTGTACATTACCAGAGAGATCTCAATTAAACTGTCTGTTTTCCTTCACCACTTGCATGCTTATTGCCTTTGCATCCCTCAGTGAAAAAGAACCTTTTGCCTCTTGGCACTACACTTGTGTCTTAACTTCAGGTCTGTATTCCAGCTTTTCCCCCGAGACCTGATGTGCATCCATACCATCCTTGCCTTTGAGTACATCAGCCAGCTGTGCCAGAATAAGGACTGGATCTTCCCAGCATGTGACCCCAAGGCTACTGCCACCGAAGGTGATTCTGCTAGCAAGTGCTTTCCTAGATGGTCTGTGCCTGTGGGGCCTAGCTGGGTTTACAGTCCTGGTTCTTGTTACAGGTCGTGACACTGGAAGTGGTTCCCGTGTACATGAGATTCCTTTCCAGTTTGACCTCATGAAGCTGCTCCCCAAATGTCAGCAGATTGAAATGTTCTTCCTGATGCTGACAGGAGGCAAGTGTTTCTTATCTTTGAAGCTTTTTGCTGACACAACCTGAGGAGGGGGCATAGAGGGAGAAGGCCATGGCTGACTCAGCTCCAGAGCATCTGATCTTAGTCCAGAAGTCAATTTTCAGCACTGCTTCTAATTTCTGGAATTTGTAAAACAGTAATAAATAAGATGATGTGCAATGTAGAATTTGCACTTCTCACTCCTGAAGTTTCTTCCGTGTTAAGGTGCAAGGCTTCCGGCTCACAGAGTACAAGAGTCCTAGTACATCTCTTTTAGAAACTAATTTCTTCTCATGGCTATCACTGGGTATGGTAGGGGGAGTGCAGACAAAGGAGGAGAGATGCTCTTAGTTCTAATGGTTCTCTCCATAAAGGCATTTCTCTTGTTTTCAGCTGATCTGGGAGGAGATAGGGTGAATGCAGTTGCTTTCCTCAGCCCTGTGGGGTTTCCAGGTAGCTGAACTGTGGGTAGGTGTTTTGAGCTGAAACACCAGAGAATTGTTTTACTCATGCTGGTGACTTCTGTTCTGTAGCAGAGGATGATGGGATCACAAAGGACTCTTCTTTCCTGCCTAATGAAATGCTTCTCAGCCTCTTTCATGGCTGCCTCCAGCATGACCTCAGCGACAGGGAAATTACGTTGTCGGGCAGAGACCATGTAACTTTCATGGAGCAGGTGCTACAGAGGGACCGAGATGGCCACCCTCCTCCATTTAAGCTCCCAGTGATCCAAGGTAAGAGGAGCACACGAACTGGTGCCTGCCTTGCTTCATTCCTCTGATCTCTGACCTCCTTGTTTCCCTTCCAGCAGAACCGAAAGCCCCCATGTCCTTGGAGCAGCAGGATCCAACTGGCCCTTACCACTCTGTTGGCAACAAGGACACGGCCACTTCCACAAATGCCCAGCAGGTACAGCAGCCTTGTGAGCTCAGTATTACATTGCCAAAGGTGCCATAAACCCCCGAGATGTGGCATCTTCCATGTTCTGTATTCAGGAAACTGCCATTCTTCTGCAGTGGAGAGGTTTACTTCTCCCACTCTGCCTCAGAGGAGTTATCTAATGCCTGAAGAGAGGTGGCCTTATGTCACATGGGCACCAATGAGACATTTTCCAAAGGCTTGGTCTGCGGCAGATACTGTGTGCAGAAGCCTGGCTACTTATTTCCCTGGAGGGTGGAATGGAAATACATCCTTACACTGGCTGAAAGGGAGCTTCAGATCTTCCTTGGTGTTGCAGTTCTGTTTCTATAATTGTGTTTGAATCCAAGACTGTGTTCGGATCCAGACTTAGTTTTCTAATAGCAGAATGGTAGTTGCCTGTTTCCCCCCTCCCACTGTAGCCCACTGATTTCCATGAAATGCTGCTCCTGTGGGATAGGGGGTCCTAAGGAATGAAATTGGGTGGGAACTGGGAATGCTGCTCCTGTGGGATAGGGGATCCTAAGGAATGATATTGGGAAATCTGCAGTCTCCATCAATTGCCCTGCAGTGGGAAGGGGCAATTGATGGAAATTGCAGATTTAGCTCCAATCCTTTCATTGTTTCATCGGGATGGGGAACTGGGCCACAGTATCAGAAAGCCCCATGGCATGATAAAATTGGATTTGCTCTGTCTTAGACTTCAAACAATATGGAGGGGTCAGGCGATGATATCTCACCAGCAGGTGTGTCTGAAAACCTCTTCCCCCAGTGGCGATGCTATGCTAAACTGGCCAATCCACAGCATCTTTTCCTCATCTTTCTCCCAGCTACATTCTCAGGTAAGGGAACTGGACAGCTGCCAGAAGAAAAGGAGATCCCTGATCCTCATACAATACAGTAGTAGGCCAGATACAGAAGAAATCATTGTGCCAAAGAAATGAAAGTTGAATCCTGCCACTGGTGCAAACCATACAAATTAAGCCACTTTGCATATATTTGCTTACTTTGCATAAATTATTCTGAGATTTCATCAAGTATGGAAACTTAATTTAAAAAATAGAGCCAGATGCTGAACAGTTAACCCAGCGCTGCATTCTATCCTCATGTAGTTCTGTCTAAGCTGATTGCAGTATTTGATATGAATGTAATTGAGTGTGATCACAGCACATTAATTCTCGATGTCCAATTTAAGAAATGTCTTCTTTGTGCTACAAAATCCACAGCTGCACAACTAAGTGAGTTTCCCACGGATCCAAGGCACCCCTCCTCCCGGTCTGTGCTGTGCATTAGCAGTGAGAAGAGGGAAAGAAGGGATATATACCGAATCCTACATGGTAGCCCTGTACTCCAATTTTCTTTTCCAGACATACAGAGATTGATAGCTTATGAGTCAGAAAACGCTGAATCAACACCTTCCGAAGGAGAACAGGAGCTGGAGGCGGCAGGGTCACTTCCAACTGTCAGTGTCACACCAGCCAATGGTATTGATCTTGCTTCTGCAGCACAACTAGTCTCTTGTGCTTAGGATCTTGGGTGGGGGTGTTTGGTTTTCGGCTGTGATATGCACGGGCTCTGTAGGCAGGGGAACAGTGATTTTCTCTCACCAGTAAGGGAGCAGCCCATAACAGTGGGACTGTGCAAGAGAATGCAGCTTCCAGGCAGGTATGGGCACTCACACCTCTTGGTGGGGCAGGTGGCATCCATCTGTATACAAAGGAAAAAGAAATCCTATCTGAGACTGATTCTTTTGCCTGCTTTGCTCTCACAGTGAGGCCTCCTCCATGCAACTTTGCATGGGCTCAAAGTCTTGTCTGAACTGTGCTGCAGTCCTTGAAAAGTAGGCACACTTGTGTAGTTTGCACCCCAAAAGTTCCATAGTCCTTTCAGATATTGTGCTGGCTTGCTAACTAAGCACGGATAGCTACTTTGCATGGCTTGCAGCAGTTTCATTGAGGTTCTAGACCCATGCAAAATTGTACAGGGGAGGCTCTTTGCCTCACCGTTTAAATTGGGCCACAATCTTCCCTGTAGAAAATTGCACTCTCTAGTCCTGCCTTCACACTGACACAGTTACTAGGCAAGGAAACAAGCAAGCCTACACATGCTCTGCTGCCTAGCAGCACTTCCAAAAAGGCATAGCACACATGCTCTTCTCTCTGCTGCTGCTTTCTACTTCCTTGGAGGATCAGTCATCTTTCTGAGTTTGTTTCTGAAGTTCTATCTGTGCTGGTCTCTTCTCTTGACTACCCTTCAGTCTGCCTTGTTTTTTCGCATGCTGTTTTCACATGTTATTATCTGTTTGAGTTAACGTTTATAGTTATAGGGCAAGATTTCGCACTTCAGGCTATGCACACAGCTTTCGGAGTCCCAGAACTAAGGAGGGGCTATTCCGAAGGCGCCAACAGGAAGGGGAAAAACTTCTTCCTGCCTCCCTATTGGCACGGTGGGAATAACCCATGCAGATGTCCTCCTTTACTCAGAGGAGAAGGACCCCTCACGGTAAGTGACCACTAAAAGTTCCATAGTCCTTTCAGATATTGTGCTGGCTTGCTAACTAAGCACGGATAGCTACTTTGCATGGCTTGCAGCAGTTTCATTGAGGTTCTAGACCCATGCAAAATTGTACAGGGGAGGCTCTTTGCCTCACCGTTTAAATTGGGCCACAATCTTCCCTGTAGAAAATTGCACTCTCTAGTCCTGCCTTCACACTGACACAGTTACTAGGCAAGGAAACAAGCAAGCCTACACATGCTCTGCTGCCTAGCAGCACTTCCAAAAAGGCATAGCACACATGCTCTTCTCTCTGCTGCTGCTTTCTACTTCCTTGGAGGATCAGGTGAGAGAACAGCTTTGCAAATCAGTCACCAGATAGTAATTTTTTTTAAAAAAGCTGTCTAGGGGGTGAATATTTTCTCCCTCTCTGCTGCTGCTTTCTCTTCCTGCCATCTCAACACAGCTACATTTAGCTGCATACAAAAGGGACCAGGAAAGACAAGCTGCTGGTAGAAACCAAGAGAGAGAGAGCTGCAAGTATTTGGACAGGGGGCTGCTGCAACCTACCTGTGAGTCATATGATATGGAAACCTGCTTTAGACTTGCAATTTGCAGAGCAAAAGGCAGTATCTTATGAATCTGTGGCCTTGAAAGGGCAGCTCATATGGAGTGGTAGAGGAAACATCGCACAAGTTATTCAGCCAAAGATTTCGGTGTCATGTGCTTGTAGAAAATGAGTGTCTACAAGAAAAAGCTGAATTTGAATGAGCAAGTTATGTTACTTTTTTGCAGAGCGTTTGTATGGCACTGCTGCTTCTATTTCTAGCACCCTCTTTTTGTAAAAATAGGATGCAGAAAAGAACAGACCGAATCCATACTATAACCTGTAGCTTCAGAGGTTGGGCAGCAGATTTCATTTTGAATTATCAGAGTTAATGAATTGTCATCTAGATAGGCTTTTTGACACTTGTTGAAACTTGGCACCTGAAAAATACCGAAGTGCCCTTGAAGAAAGCAAATGTAGGGAGAGAGTAAATATCCAGGAGAACGTACAGATTTCAAACGAGGAGAGCTATTGTGACAGATGGTGAAAAAAAGCTGCCAGGCCGTATTTAAAATGTTTATCATGCCCTCAATCAAAATATTACTGTAGCAGTTTAAACATTTAAAACAGGACAATAAAAATCATGTCATAAAAATGACCCTCTAAGATATGAAGCAGCAAAGCATCTACAATTCCAACAGCAGCGTAGAAAATGCGGTCAAACAGAATAAAACCAATAGAACATTAAAAGTAGCGTGATCCAAATATGGGTTCTTGTGTGCCCCGGTCCAATTAAGCACACAGGTGAGGTTTCATTTAAAACAGCTGGAGCAAGCTTTAAAGAATTACGGGAAGGCCTATCAAAACAGCCAAGGGGGTTAGCTTTTATAGTTGCAATAAACAGTTCCTTTCAAGCATGCTCAGTACAATTCTGACACCTTAGTGATGAGAGCATCACATATATGGTTTCTCTCCCTTGTTTTAGACTATTCACAAACTCCCATTGTTCTCTTATCTACCCCTATGCTTTGCTAACAGATGTTACTGTGGTCTTCTGTGGCCTTCAGAATAGCTACTACAGAACAATGGCTTCAGTTTTCCCAGCATGTTTCCATCTACAGGTCCATTCTATTCCCACATGCCTCCTAGTCTTCTTTCATGTCAGCAGGCCTAATAATAATAATATACTATTGTCATTGTACATAGTACAACGAAATTAAAGGTGCAATCATTCGGTGATCTACAACCATACTCATACACTCACACAACCATTCACAACCATCCCATAACTCCCTTAAGGTTCACATTGCAACTTAAACCACCAATGTCACCCAAATTCCAATTTCATACAGCATTTAAAGCAATAATAGCTCTCGAATAAAAACTATTTTTAATCTGTTTGTCCTTGTTTTAATTGTCCTATATCTTCTACCCGAAGGCAGCAGTTCAAACAGGGAGTGTTCAGGGTGTGACAAATCCTGCAGAATGTTCTTTGCTTTTTTCAAGTATTGAGAACTATACAATTCCTCCAGGAACGGGAGAGGACAGCCAATAATCTTCTGGGCTGTGATGATAACTCTCTGGAGTGCTGAAACAGCTTTAAAATTAAAATTGTAATAGTATTGCTCATCAGCAGCCAAAAATCTTTGCAACTGAAGCAGGAAATAATAATTTTTTGTTTTAAAGTAGCAAAGCTATGTTTTTACTTTACTGTTTTAGTAAATTTGCCACCAGGCTGAAGGGTGGGCATTCTTAGGGTTACCAATCTCCTGGTGATGGCTGGAGACTGATCTCCAGACAAGAGAATTCGGTTTCCCGTGAGAACATGGCAGCTTTGGATGGTGAATTCAATGGCATTGTAGCCTGCTGAGGTCCCTCCCCTTCCAAACCCTGCCCTCCCCAGACTCTACCCCAAAAGTCTCCAGGAGTTTCCCAACCCAGAACTGGCAGCACTGGCCGTTCTGCATTTTGGGGTGCCTCCGCTGAAATGGCCATGCTTTTTGTATTGATTCCCTATGCCTCCTATAAAGGAGGAGGGCATAGGAGGGTTGCAAAGAATTATTTCAACAGATGAGTAGGTGTATGTGGAAAGAAGTAGTTCTTTACTGAGGTACCTTGATCCCGAGCTGCTTGGTGCTATAAATATCATAACCAGCCCAGAAACAAAAGGCAGCCTGTATAGTTGTCTTAAGACTGGCAAGATGTGTTCTTCAAATAAGGGGACCTAGCGCTGTAGTTTGCACCAGCCAAAGTTTATTAACTGTATTTATGCCATCGGACAATTATACTGCAGTGTGCTGAAAAGCTGCCTAGACCCAGACGCAAGGCAGATGGCTACAAGATGAAATATGCAGCACTGCAGTGTGTTTCTGAGCATGCCTAAAACAAAACTAAACTGTTGGAAGCTCATAAGGCAAATTATGTCTTTTCGTCATGGCCTCAACAATATCCTGTTATTTTAATGTGAACTTTCTCCTGGATGACTTTTTGCGTTCCTTTATTTTTAAAATGTTTGTTGATTGCTTTACTATTGTTATCTCAGGCTATCTCATAAGCTTCATGTTGACGTATACATGGGAACAATGGACCCTAACCCTATCTACTCACTTTGTCCTTTTATCAGTGCTCTCATGATGAGGTAGTTGAGACTCTGACAGAGTGATAGACAGGACTGTTCAGAGAAGATGGACAGGATGACACCCCTGCATGTGCTAGTCTTGTACTCATTCCTCATTAAGCAACAGAGCATGGAGTTGGTGTATGCTACATAATAGCAGGGGGAGCACAGTTAAATACGGTGCTAGAGGTTGGGGAAAAGGGGACATGAAAACAACACTGCTCTGAAGCAATGCTGAGTGTGGTGGTGTACTGAACCAGGTGGTTGCCAAGTATGAGAGACCTGCTCATTTCCCGTGGGGTATCTCATCTACAGAAATTGGCCATGAGACTGCAGATCCCGATGCTACACCAAGAAGAGAAGCACGTATCTCCTTCAGCCGCCAGGTGTCTCAGCCTGACATCAGTGAGAGCTGCCGAGTCCGCTGCCCTGTCTATGTCTACAGCTGCTCCTTGGAGCTGCTACGGGAGCAGATGATCACTCCCAAGCCAGATAAGCCTCTGCGAGATATCTTTTTCAGGTAAGCTTCTACTGTAAGACGCAGGAAGCTCAGCTGCACCTCTGCATATATTGAGCAATTCTTGCTCCATGATACAGTCCCTTGTTCCTTGATACCACCCCTATCACCAGGCCTGTCGCTCCTGCGGGGCCCACAGGACCTGGCCCCCTAGTAGTTTTTAAGGGACCCCTTCCTAAGCCTTGGCTCCCCTTCCCCATCTGGGCCCCCTCCCCCCATTGCCTGTCAGTCTGTTGGCAGGGAGCATGAGGCACTGATTTCAGAGGTGGTGGAGATATTTGGCGTCTTACACATATGGGGGGAAAAGACTACACATACTTTTCAGCAGTACATAACATTCATACGAGGATCGACTTCATCCTTCTGTCACCATCATTACTAAATAATGTTTCTTCATCCAACATAGAACCCTTGAAATGGTCTGACCATGCGTGGTTAAATTGTGAATTATCCCACTTTGATTTGAGTAAAAAACACAGACAGTGGACACTGAACACTTCTTTGTTGGAAAACCAATCATTCAGGGAGGAAGTAGAAGAGGAAATTAAAAATTATTTTGACGCCAACACACGAGACGATATTTCTCCTAGCGTGACTTGGGATGCTCTGAAGCCAGTGATTAGAGGAATCATCATATCCAAAGCATCATTCCTGAAAAAACAGAAACAAAAATTAGAACAAGATATAACAAATAAAATCAATGCACTAGATAGTCAACACAAACAAACAGGGTCAAAACATACTTTACAAGAACTAAACACAGAAAAGAGAAGCCTAGCCCTCTTAGAGACTTCCAAAATTACGAAACGTCTTCGGACAGCGCTGGCTCTTCGGCTTTGAAACGGAGATGAGCACCGCAACCCTAGAGTCGGACTCGACTGGCTTTCGAGCAAGGGAACCTTTACCTTTACCTTTTTACTATTCACAAAACAAAAATACTGGATAAAATCTCCACGTACACTTCGATTACTTGTATACAAAATTAAAGAACAGGCACTGTCAAAAAACATCAAAGCCATCAAAACTTTACAGGGGGAAATTACTACTAATACAGAAAAAAATCATACATAGATTTGAAGAATATAACACACAGTTATACACAGCCACTCCAGTAAATGAGAAAGTATTTCAAGAAGAGATCCTAAAATTTCCCGTTCCAGAGAAACTGAAAGAACAACATAAATCTTTTTTAGACAGTCCTATTATAGACAATGAAATTTTAGACTCCATTAAAGCGCTCAAAACCAATAAAACACCGGGACCTGATGGATTCCCAGCAGAATTCTTTAAAACAGTTGCATCACATCTAGTGAAACCACTCACAGAGGCTTTCAATCATGTGCTGGAAACAGGCTCCATCCCATCTTCATGGCATCTGGCGACAACAGTTGTTCTTCCACAGAAGGATAGGGATCCACAACAGCCCAGTTCTTACCGACCCATTTCTTTACTAAATCAGGACCAAAATTTTTTTACGTCAATCCTAGCTAAAAGAATAAATACTTTTATTTCTGAGTATATACACCCAAATCGAGTAGGATTTATACCCACAAGAGATCTGGCAGACAATACCTTTAAAACCCTAAATTTATTAAGACACTGCACACATGCTAAAATACCAACAGCCTTTCTCACCCTAGATTTGGAGAAGGCATTTGACACTGTGCAATTTCCTTACCTATTTACAATCCTTCAAAATATGGGATTTGGAATTAAAGTCTTAACAGCATTAAAAAGTCTCTATTCTAACCCCAGCACCAACATAAAGATTAATAGTTCTATTTCCAACACAAACTAAGCCAAGGCACTAGACAAGGCTGCCCGCTTTCCCCAATATTGTTCGCCCTGGCAATAGAACCCCTGGCAAATGCAATTAGATCTAAAACCACAATCACAGGCATTAACTTAAAGGGAAAGAAATATAAATTGCCGTTATTCGCCGGTGACATGCCACTGTACGTAACAAATCCTGAGACGACGATTGGTCACTTACCGTAAGGGGTCCTTCTCCTCTGAAGACTCCTTTCAAAAAGTATCTGGCCTTGGGATAAATAAATCTAAATCACAAGTTCTTCCCATTCATATCAGCAAAAAAGATCAAGGAATTCTGAAGGAAAAATTTGATTTTGGTTGGGTCACTACGTACCTTCACTACTTGGGAATAAATATTCCTATAGACCTTTCCAAACTAATAAAGGTTAACCATCACAACATACATACGCTCTGATATCCTTAAATGGAATAAATTAAATCTTTCATGGATAGAGAGATTTCATCTTATAAAAGCGTTTATTTTACCGAAATTTCTGTTTCTATTTAGAACAATACCCATAAATATCCCTCTTTATGTATTGAAAAACTGGCAGGCAACGCTCAGAAACTTTTTATGGGCGGGGAAAAAACCAAGAGTAGGCCACCAAATTTTGAGACGACGTAAAAATCAGGGAGGTTACGGTTTACCAGATCTTATAGGCTATTATAAAGCCACATTATTTACTAACATAGTCAAGATGCAACGCATGGATCCTGTGCCTGAATGGACGCAACTTTGCTCAGATCTACTTAATTCCTCCACAGTAGAAGCCTTAATCTGGGATAATGTTTCCCTCTCTACCTCTGGGGCGAGGGACAACATATTCCTTTTTCCTTCTATCAATATGTGGAGAACTTGCAGTAAAACCCTCCTTCCAAACAGATCCAGACACTCTACTTTCATCTACCAACCATGGTTCTCAGAACATGTCCATCCCAGTATTCTGTGTAAATGGAAGGAAGCCCAACTATTCCGGTATTGTGATATTTTAAATGTTAGAGGTCTTCTTTCCAAAACATAAATGGAAAGAAAGCTGGGCCAACCCATACCTTGGTTCCTATATTTGCAGCTCCAGCATGTAGCAAGCCAAATGAATCTCAAATCAATAATTACATGTCCACAAACAAAACTGGAATTTATAATCAAAACGATTAATAAACAGAACAGAGGCATGATATCTGCAATTTATGATCTAATGCTAATGGAAAATAATCCTAAAACCCTCTCTTATCAGTCTGTACGGCAACAGGATTGTGACCTCGTTATTGATGATGTTGCATGGAACAAAATCTGGACAAATAGAGGTAACACTCCACGCTCTCTACCAATGGATCTTCACAAATTCAAAATATTAACTAGATGGTATTTGACACCCCAGAGACTGTCTCGCATGTCTTCTAGACAAAAAGGAAGGGACTTTTGCCCATTGTTTTTGGGAATGTGAGAAAATTCAGACATTTTGGGTGGAAGTTCTAAAACACATCAAAATAATCCTAGATATTGAGGTTCCCCTGAAGCCAGAATACTTATTCTTAGGTTTATGGCCCCAAGAAATAGCCCAACACCATCACAAAGAAATACTAGATGTAATGCTATACGCAGCCAGACTTTCCATAGCTTCATACTGGAAAGACCCCTCTCCACCAAATATCTAAACATGGCACAAAAAACTATGGGATCAATTCATTATGGAAAGTATCACAGATAAACATAATAGAAACAGTAGAACTCCTGTTAATTCTAGATTCAATGCTAAATGGTACCCAATTCTGGAATCTTTGTCAAATGAGAAATTTATTTCACCAACATGGAACAACTATATTAAGTGGATATAAATGACATGAGAAATTCAAAATCACCCTATAAAGGGAAAAAGGGATATCACCTAAAGTTTATATCCATTACAAATCTAAATACAGAAATAAGTCAGAGTTTATCCTGTTAAGAAAAAGCACCAATTTTCTTTATTCTCCCAAAGAAAGCTCCACTATTTAAGGCAGGGGTCATTTCGTAGAAAAAGAGGTGCAGGAGCTCCTTAGCATAACTCATTAGCATAACTTATTTGCATATGCCACACCCCCTGACATCACCGGAAGTGTGTCAGAAGGCAACACCCACCGCTCAGGCTCCACTGGGCTGTTTTGGATTGCTAGCTATTGGGGGTGGGGACGTGCAGATCTGTCCTCACAGAGGAGGGAGAGCTTGCACCTGAATAAAACTTGGTCTTAAAGGTGCCACTGGACTGTTTTGGACTGGGGGGCCGGGGGGGCTCTGCAGCTTACCTGGCTGCTTCTTGCTCTGACTGAGGGCTGCTGGGAGCAGGAGGTGGGGCTTGTTGCATGTGCCCGCCCCCTGGGCTCTTTACTGCCGGAGCTCTGCTACTGTGCACTCCTGCAGGAAATGACCCTTGATTTAAGGTATTTGGAAATGAATGATTATACTAAAACTGAACAAGAAGTTGTAAGACTTTGTTTATTAGTAATCGTACGAAATATTCTGTTAACCAAAAATAAGAAGCTAACTCAAATGTTAACTAAAGTATATATCAACATTTCGTTATTTGTTACCACCTGTTCAGAAACATACATTTTATATTGTACAAAGTTATTGCATAGAACCCTCTGTATTGTCACACAATTTTTTGAATAAAAATTACACACACACAAAAAAAAGAGGTGGTGGAGGCACAAGTAGTAGCGATGAGGCTGGGCTGAGAGAGCCCCTGGGGCAGGCAGCGAGCATGAATGGTGGGGGGAGAATCTTTCATCTTGGGCTGCCACCAAACGCTTGCCAAACTGCCCACCAGCAGCAGGTAAAACCCAGCCAGGCAAGGCAAGGAGGCAGGCGGGTGCCTCCTCTGGCCCCAGCCAGGCGCGCCCAGATGTGCTCTGGCACGCCAACGAGCCCACACATGGCACCTTCGTTTCTAGTCTGGCTGCTGCACGCCTCGGGAGAGAGCCGAGAGTGGAGATCATTCGGCCCCCTGGTGCTGTGCCGTGGGAAGAGGCGCTGGGGCTCCTTGGGGAGGGAGGGAGCTGGATGCTCCGCAGGGAAGGCCTGCCCTTGCGGGGGCGGGGGGACGAAGGAAACTGCGGCCATTGCAGCCCTTGCCTTGGAGCCTTTGGTTGAATTAGCTGGTGGCTCCCTCCTCCCAAAATCCTTAGCTGCGGGGCTGCCTGTCACTTTGGTATCTGGTTTGCTGCTGTTGCTACTTGGTACCTAGTGGATGCATACAGGCCTGTGCATAGTAGGCTGAGTGGTGGCATTGTTGCCAGAGCAATAACAAAATAAGGATGAGAGAACAGAAGGGAGAACTGATGTGACAGGCTGACTGGTAAAGGAATTGGGGCCTTGCCTTGTGTGTAATGTTATCCTTGCTTTGGTCCTGTTGTTTAATGTGTCTGTCTTTCAGAAGCCAGTCTGTGGAGCGCCCCACCAGTGCTCCCTGGCTAGATCCCAAGCACAAGGAACTGGTGAGTTACTGCACTTTGCTGCAAGAACATTCCCACCAGTGCTACGTGAAAGGTAAGAAATAGAAGTACCCCACCTCATGGCAGCGAAAGGAGATGTCACACCCAGCTCTTCTAGTTTGCTATCAAACTGGGCTTGGCTTTGTCCTGAAAGGCCAAGAGGGGGCTGGGCACTGCCATGTGGCTGTGACAAACCTGTATCCTCATGCTTATAGTGAGCCTGGGGCAGAAATAGGCAGAGCTTCAGCTAGTTAGATGCAGTGCTACCTTTTAAAAAATGTTTGTCATTCCTTTCTCTTATCATGTTGACTTTCCTAAGCATCTCTGCATGGCTGCATAGCGTTTTAATTCTCTTCTTCTCTTCAGGGCTGTTCCGGAGCCTTCAACAGGGTCACAGCATCAGCTGCCCTGACTTGCTCATCGCCGTGGATTATTGTGAGGAGCTTCTTCAAGAGATAGACATCACAAGCTTCTTACTTACTTTGTGTAGCCACGTGCGCTCCTTCTGTGAGCGCCACCATCACCTGCCCACCAGTTTAGAAAGAGAAACAACGCAAGCCTCCCAAGGGCGGGGTGTGTTGGTCTCTGTTTCCAGGTGAGATTGCTGTTTCCATAGAAACACAATTAGATCAGAAAGAACAGGATGCCCTGGCAATGCTGGATGTTTGGAAGTACAGTTTTTATCTTCCAAGGGTTTTCTTTGTTCTTCCTGGATGCAGTTGCTGCCTAATGAGTGACTTGGATTACCCCTTTCTGCACACCCTACAGATGTAATTGGATTTCTGAAGTCCAGCTTTATAGCTAGCAGGACCCCATTCTATAGCCCTGGAGATGTACCAAGTGGGGAACTAGCTCTGGGGGCCTCTCAGAATGTTTGTTCAGGCTTTGAATGAAAAAAAAGAGAACATGCTGAAGTCAGATATTCAAGAGTGACATTGGGAACAAATGCAAAAGCTTTAAATGGTGGAGTTTTAATTGTGAATCTACACTGACACTTTATTTATTTATTAAATTTCTATCCCGCCCTCCTGCCGGAGCAGCTCAGGGCGGCTTACACACAGCTTTAAAACCAGCATAAATATATACATGAAATACAATTCAATAAAATTCCAAATAAATACCGTTATTTGGTTTTGAAAACTCCACTTTGGTTTTGAAAACTGAACTGCTGAAATCTCAGCAACAATGAAGTAAGGTGGATGAAGATTCAGTTTAGTGACAGGAGTGTGTACTTCCCAATATGAGCCCTAGAAATGGTGTCTAGTTTGGTAGTTCTTGGGTAATGTTGCTGGAATGGATTATGGAGCTGGCTTCAAAAATCATTGCCAGCTAGACATTATACAGCCCTGAGATGATGGGCTGATCCAGTAGTGGATGATTCATAAAATGTGGAAGTTTTTTTTGTGGGTGCCTCACTCAAGCAGTGAATGTGTGTATCTTGTCTGTCAGAATATTTTTTAAGATAAAAAAGTAAGCTTCTGGGTCAGTGGAAGAGAAAGTCCAGATGGGATTACTTTTCCCAGTTGCTTCACAGGCAGAACTGTGCTAAGCTAGCTGAGGTTGGGTTTTTTTTTAATTTAGCTCACGGGGGAGGGGGAAGTAGTATTACATTTCCTGTCCTGTGTCCTCACAGCAAGGTTCCTCTCCTTCTGTCCCAACATTCTAGGATTTTCTGTCTTCTATCCAACTCTTTTTTCCCTTTCAACTTCCTGATAAAATTTTTCTCCTTCCTTGATCTCTATCTTTTTCCTTTCATTTTGGCCTCCTGGCCATTCTGCACACACACGCACAAAAATAGACCTCAGGGATCTTGTTTGAGCCTACTGCGATCTGCCTCCCAGGTCCATGGAACCCTGAAGAAAAGTTCTAGCACAGCTGTTCTTGAAAAAGAGCAATTTCTGTCAGAGCTCTCTCAACCCCACCTGCCTCACATGGTGTCTGTTGTGGGGAGGGGAAGGGAAAGGAGTTTGTAAGCCACTCTGAGACTCCTTTGGGTAGTGACGGGTGGGGTATAAATCCAATCTCTTCTTCTTCCTCTTCTTCTTCTGTGGGCCCCAAAATAAGGTGCCCTCCTCCTCCATTATTTCTAATGGAGGGGGGAAGGCATTTAAGGGGAACATAGTCCCTTTAAATGGCTTTTGCAAGCCACGCTGCATCCTAATTCTGAAGCCACAAGTTCGCCCGGAAGGTGTTTAAAGGAAAGGCAGTCCCTTTAAACACCAGCTATCCGGCGGCCCCGAAAAATCTCGAATATTTTCAGGATATTTCAGGCTCAGCCATTTCAGATAGCTTTAGACAATACCGAGCTTTATATTCGGTTGAAAAAATATCTGGAAAATATCAATAAGGTACTTCCCAGGTATTTTTTTGGCTCAGTATTCCTGAATGCATACTCCTAATACACAGTATTCCATTATGAGGTTGCGTTAGATGTAACTAGTAATTTGCCATGCTCCGACAATCTACCCTAGGCAAATGGTTTTCTTGCAGTAAGTGGCTGGGATGATACTTGGCTGTGTACTCCAGTCCCTTGTCTCAAGGCTTTAATGGCTGGCAGAATATTGAGTACACTCTCAAGAGAAATGTTTTATTTTTATTTTATTTACTTCGTTTCTAAACCAACCTTCCCTTAGGCATTGCTCAGGGTGGTTAACAACATTTCAACAATACATTATAATGTTTCAATAAATATAATTTTACAGAACCAGATTAAAATTTTTAAATAATATCAAACTATTCCAGAATGGCATTTTAAAACTATTTATGTCTTTACCCCTTGGAGGGGAGGGGAGATGAAGGAAGCCAGGCTCAGTGTTCAACCGTTGTTATCCTCAGCCATAGGCCTGGCGGAACATCTCTGTCTTAGAGGCCCTGTGGAATTGTACTCCGTCCCACAGGGCACAGATGTTATTTGGCAGAGAATTGCACCAGGATGCTGCCAGGGCTGAAGAGGCCCTGGCTCTTGTTGAGGACACCTGGATATCCTTCGGGCCAGGGACCACCAGGAGGTTCTTCTCCCCAGAGCGTAATGCTCTTCGAGAGGTATACCAGGAGAGGTGGTCCCATAGGTATATTGGTCCCAGGCTGTTTAGGGCCTTAAAGATTAATACCAAGACCTTGAACTTGATCTGGTAAACAAACTGGAGCCAGTGCAGCTGGCACAGCACCGTTTGAATGTGTGCTGTTTAATGGGGTTCCAGTGAGGACCCAGGCTGCTGCATTCTGGACCAGTTGTAGTTTCTGGATCAGTTTCAAGGGTAGCCCTGCGTAGAGTGGGTTTCAGTAGTCTAACCTGGAGATGACCGTTGTGTGGATTACTGTTGCTAGGTCAGGGCGAGACAGGTAGGGGGCCTGTTGCCTGATCTGGTGCAGCTGGAGTCACAAATATTGCCAGTCTAGCAATATTTGTGACCTGGGCCTCCATCAATAAGGAGGCATCCAGGAGCACACCTATGCTCCTGGCGGTCAGTACTGGTGTTAAAGTTACCCTGTCAATTGAGAGCCATTTTGGTGTGAGAGCCATTTTGGTGTAGTGGTTAGGAGTGTGGGCTCAAGTCTGAGAGAACTGGGTTTGATTCCTCACTCCTCCACATGCAGCTCCTGGTGTGACCTTCGGTGAGTAACAAGTTATTTCAGAGCTGTTCTCTCAAGAGCAGTAGTTCTCTCAGCCCCACCTATCTCACAGCATGTCTCTTCTAGGGAGGGGAAGGGAAAGGAGACTGTAAGTCACTCTGAGACTCCTTCGAGTAGTGAAGGGCAGGGTATAAATCCAATCTCTCTTCTTCTTCAAGAGCTGGAAGTTGGCACCTCAGCTCTAAAACCCACCCCCCTCCCCGCGCCCAGCCACAGAACCTCTGTGTTTGAAGGATTTCAGTCCTGCACTTTCTACAAGCTGAGATGTTGAACTCATTTGTTACAAGGGCCAGATCTGAAAGCACTGCACTGGCTGTCGATAGCATACCAAATTCGCTTCAAGGTGTTGGTTCTTACCTTTAAAGCCCTTTATGGTCAGGGGCCTACATACCTGAGGGACCGCCTTTCCCCACATGTTCCCCAGAGAGCAGGGTCCCAAAATCAACTGGCCCTCCAGGGTCTCATAGACGCCAGGCTGGCCACAACCAGGGCCAGGGCCTTCTCAGTGGTGGCTGGCAGAATGAGCTCCCAGAAGAGATCAGGGCCCTGCAGGACCTTTTACAGTTCCACAGGGCCTGCAAGACGGAGCTCTTCCACCAGGCCTTCAATCAAGGAGCTGCATCAAATAACTGAACTGTGATAGGGCCCTGTTCCTCTGGAAGTACCACCAACAGCCTGTGCCTGCCACATAAATAAATAGATCAAGATGAGCTGACTATCAATACAGACTGTATCCCACTTGAATACTCCATCATAATTGTTTTCACCATTTCTGTGCAATGCTATTATTATTAATTTTACTGTCACTAGCACTTTATGATAGTTTTATTGTTTTATGATTGTTTTATAATTGTTACTTCATGTGTTTTAACCTTTTATGTAAGCCGCCCTGAGCCTGCTCCTGTGGGGAGGGTGGGGAATAAATTAATTAAATAAATATGTCACTTGGGCCGGGCTATGTGTGCCATAAAATTTAATCCCAGTGTGGGAGATATAAAGTTTATAAAGGACACAGGCAAATCCCATTAACTATATTATTTTTTACTCACAAACATGCTTAAAGCATTAACACTCTTGCAGTATTTCCTTAAAGTATCTCCCCGGTGTCCACCCCCCCACTTCCACTGCCCATTACTCATTAGCGCTGGGACAGTGTACAGGGACATAATTCACAGCCTCTGTCATCTGGCAGTAACAGTAATGACCAGTTGCTTGCAGGCCGGATAAGAGCCCTGGACAGGCCAGTTTTTGCCCACGGGCCATGTGCTTGACATGCCATCACATGTAGAATAGTTTATTCACAGTGAAAGCCAGCAATCTAATACAGTAGTCAAACTGAATTTGTCAGAATCCATAAACCACAAGCATATATGAAATGTATAAAATAAAAATATAAAATAGCACATGCAAGTAAAACATGTTGAATCCTATAGGAAATTATGTCTATTCTCCTTTCACTAGCAGTTCTCTAGTCCTTACAGCTAACCAGCCAAATTTGGCAAGTTTAGCTGTAACCTCAGGAAGCCTACTTTCTAAGAGATTCTTCAGTAATTGCACCTTTTGACTAGGATAGAGTAGTTGAGCGGTGGCTCAAGTGGTTAAGACGCTGAACTGCAGGCTGTGGAAGGTCGGTAGTTCAGCAGTTCGAGACCCGGGTGCCGCATGATGGAGTGAGCTCCCATCTCTAGTTCCAGCTCCTGCCAACCTAGCAGTTTGAAAGCAAGAAATTGCAAGTAGATAAATAGGTACCACTTTGGTGGGAAGGGAACAGCGTTCCGTGCGCCTTGGTGTTTAGTCATGCCGGCCTTATACACCCCTCTCAGCTTTCAGCTCTTTGGCTGCCACCCAATGGGAACTTACAACTAGAATCAGCTTCACAAGGTTATTATTAGGGATGGGCACGAACCAAACCACAAAGCAAAATTTGTCACGAATCTTGCCCTGTTCATGGTTCGCAAATAGGCTGTTTCTATGCGTGCTGTCTGAGGGAACAGTGTTTGTTTTTATTATTTTAAAATATTTGTATCCAAGAAAGCACAGAAGTTGTTTTTAAAAAACATCCATCAAATTAGGTACAGTTTGCTACAGAAATACAGTGGGTATTCTTCCTTTGATCCATAAATGCTGTTTTATTCTCTGGAAAGTGTTTACTTTGAGCAGGGAGGCGGGGACATCTGCAGCTTGATGTTTGCATGGCTGTCAACCTTGCTGCCTTCACTGGCTGATCATTTTTGGGATATATATTGATAGGAGGTAAGGAATGCCCCATGGTGGGATACTTAGCCTCTGGCTTTAGACCACTTTCCAGCCACGCTCAAGCTAAATTGTACCAATTCCAATGTGTTTGTGGTCGAAACTGACCATATAACTTGTGAGAACTGGATTTGTGAGCAGCATCCTAGATTTCTGTTAGCTCTGGAAGACAGATGTCCTGTAAAATATTTCCTCATGTAGATACTCAGAGAATTGCATCACCTGTGCGTAACTATCCTTTGTTCCTGACTGATCAGAATGCGTGCATTGTATGGAGCTGGGGTGGGGGTGGGGCTGACACATGATGGGCTGCTTCCGATTGAGGAGTACATTGCTGAGGGATAGGTGTGTGAATATGGCGCCTGAGGATGGGTGCATAGGGATATTTGTGACTGATTTGACTTTTCCTGAACCCACACTGCAGTGCTGAGACAGAGGATTTCAGTGAGCAAGATTCCCATGTCTCTTCCTGCCCAGCCCAAGAGTCCAGGCAGAGCTGCTGTCCAGAGTTTCCCCTCTCACTACTAGAGAGCAGCCAGCCCTGCCAGGCACACCCTGACCTGCACAGGATCATCCAGGTAAGGGGAAAGACTGCTTCACTGGGTGGGATAAGAGATAGTAGCACATATGATCCAAATGTTCTCTATTTGCCTCCCCCCCCTTTTATCTCCTAGGAGAAATTCTTGGAGATTGGTAGTTTGCATTTTAAGCCAGTGCCATCCAATCCTCATTATTTTTTCTACTGTCCTCCTTCAGCCAAAAAAGAGGTAGGAAGATCCATTTGTTTCTCTGCCCTGGGAGGGACACTAGAGGGAGCGGTGTGCCACTAAGAGCCAAACATGGAAGGATCAAGTGCCCTGATTTTGTAGGTGATACATGAGTGGCTTCTTGTCCCTTCTCAGGAGGAAGTGTCTCGGGAACATGCAGATAGGAAAGGCAGTGAAGATGTGGAGAGTTCAGAAACTGATCTGGCAGCTGATGAAGGTAAGGGAACTTTTGCTTGCCCTGTTTGTTTAGAAAATTTATGCTATGTCTCCAGACCTGTTCACAGCAGCTCACAGCTAACACAATAAAGCAAATCACACAATAAAACAAGTCAATAAAATAAGTCGGTAAAACAAACCCTGTTGTGCTTTGTACAGTTATAATTGTTGAAGTTCCTGGATGTTGTGGTGCATGTAATTTTTGATACAGGGTTCCTTTTTCCCATATGAATTGGCTGGAGAAAGGATTCTATGCACCTGTGGAAGGGTGTTCAAATCAATATGTTGTCGAAGGCGTTGAAATCCTTTAGAACTATTGAAACTGAGCCACTTTCCTGTTTAGTCAGCAGACTGGGAGCAGGGGGAAGAAATGTAAGGGTCTGAGTGCACAGGTGTTATACAGGTGCTTAACTAGTGAAGTTGCTTGGACTGTAGACCACTAGTACTGGATGGCTTCTCCACTCCACACACACAAAGTCCCTTTTGCACAGAGGCAGTCACGTGAAATGGCTGTATTCAGCTGTACTATCCCGTTAAAAGTTTCAAGACCACCCAACTTACTCAGATAAATGATTGGGACTGTGGTCTGTATTTCTGTGTATAGCTTATTGTAAGTAGGATTCTATTTTTGTAATTTCTGTATCACTTAGTGCGTCGTGTTAATACTTATGTTATGCTTCAGTCCCTTCTGCTGGTTCCAGACTTCTGAAATCCTAATGCATTGGTTAATGAACATCCCATTTTGTTGATTGTTGTGTGACCCATCTTGAGTCCCTGTGAGAAAGGCAGACTATAAATAATGCAAATAAAAGAAAATAAAATTGGTCCATGCTTGGAAGATGTCGGTGAAAAATTCATGAGATCTAATCTACTTTGAAGCTGCCAGTGTGGCTTGGAATTCGGTTCAGAAACATTCCTATTATCCCTAAGCAGTTAGGTGCCAAGGGGCTCTGAGACAGCAGGTCAGATGAGTCAACACTAGAACAACTGCTCAGTGTCAGCTAGAAGAGTTATGACCCTGGAGTGGTCATCAGGCACCTTTTTTCTAGAGATTCTTCCAAACCTATAGAAGCCACATTTTATTAGCTGGGAGGAGTACCACTGGAGACTGCTGGTCTAGTGAATGAAGAAATGCAAGGTAGACAGAATCGAGTGCAGGGGTGTCAGGAGTGAAATTTTAATGAGGCTTGTGGCACATTGTGCTAACAGGCCTTGGGCTTGTGTTACCTAGGAAGGAACAATAGCCAGCTTGCCTTCTACGTGGGAAAACATAGGGGGATTTCCCCAAATTTAAAGTTAGTACTCATTACTTCTGCTTCTAAAGTCCGATATGCTTACCTAGGTAATTGACCAGCCTGTATACAAGTAATTATATGATCAACCTGTATACAAGTAATTATATGTTACTTTGTCTCAGTGTTTTTCTCATTATAAGTATTTAGCTGTGGTTTGATATTTATCATGTAGCCTTCAGTCATGTTCATTTGAAATTTTGTATCTGTATTTTCTCATGTGTATGTTTGCATGTGTGCGAGAGAAATTTGGTTTATGAACCACTTTATATGTACTCGAGAAAACAATCCTAAAAGTTGTCTCTATACTTTCTAAAACTGGCATATTGTAACAGTGTGCATGCATTAGTTCTGCCACCATGTAGAATTTGTGAGATGTTGCAGAGACAAGTCTGCTGTACATCCAGGTGCCAGTACTTCCTGTAATAGATTCCAAAGCCATTGTCTCAGTATTCAGAGAGCATTTATGCCTTCTGGATAAATTTTAGAGAGTTTTAGAGTACTCTAGTTTGAGTCAGTACATCATTTCCCAAAACTTCAGGTTTTAATTAACTTGTTTAATGAACTCTTCATACACAGGGAATGCATCTGCTTGTGGGATTGGCACTGAGAGTGATCCAGAACTGGAGGTGGAATATCGGGACCGGCTGGACCATGAATTCCTAGAAACAGATTCCCTGTCAGACTCCAACACTGTTAACCAAGATGAGGACTCCTTCAGTGTGCTGGGAGACTCTTTAGCAGAGCAAGAGCTACTCGAACAGGACATGCCACCCCTTTTCGTGCACCTGACGTGTTCTGTGAAGCTGCGCAGTCAGCATAGTTCCATGCCTGTTCTCTCACTGCCCACGTGCTTGGGTGAATGAAAAAGGGCCTTGGGCTTGGTGTAGAAGCAGTATGGCTAGGTCAGAGGGGCCACTGGGAATGCAAATTTAGTGTTAGGCTCCCAGAAATTGCCTGAGAGGTCAAATAGTTGAAGCCCAACCTCTCCAGGTATATGAAAAGTGGGTCATATCACGTGTATTCTTGCCTGAGTAATGTATGTTTTCTTTCCCCAGGAGAGGTGCTAGGCTGCCTTGAGAGCTGTAAGGCCATGCACACCATTGACCTATGTGATCTCTCTGTGACCCTTGACATTTTTGTTCTGACCCTTCCGCTGGAGATCGAAATGGTGAACGACTTGCATCACAATAGGTGGGACCCTATGGCACTGGGTTGTGTGGAGGGAAGTTTTAAAGATGTTGGTTAGTCCCAGTAGGAAGCCAGTAATTCATCTCCCCCCCCCCTTTTTTTTTGCAGGTACACTTCTGAGAGCAGTGCCTCGTTTACCCGTTCCCCAGGTCGGCCCTCCTCCTTCCGCTCTGATGAGGAGCTTATACACACCCTGGACAGGCTACCATCAACTGTGGAAGATGGGTATTAATCTTCTATATCCCCTTCATGCTAGGTTTCCCAGATTCTGGCCACTTCACCTGAACTTTGCATTCTTCTCTCTTTTTAAGGCACCCAGCACTCTCCAACCTTCCTGGAGTGCACAGGCAAGCTGTTGAAGCTACTATGACAGAGGTATGTTCACTTGCCCCTAGTAGTCTGGTGCTCTGACTCCAGTGAAATATTGCTCCTGTGTGCTCTTCCGTTATGCCCATCTCTGAATCCTGGAGGGTGTTCTGGCCAAGTACCAATCTGGAAGCTTTGGTAGGAATGTAAATGCTGAAGATAAGCCCTGCAACAGGGCCTGTATATTCTTCTCATAACTCTCTGTATCTACTGCTTCAGATCCGCTGGCTATTGGATGATGAAATTGTGTCAGCATTGCGCCACTCACGCCCAATCACTGCTGATATCTTGAGCCGGGTGGCTTCACATGTTTACAGTTCCCAAGGCCGCCCAAGCTGCCATTGTGAGGCTGTCCCCTTGCAGTTTGTGTTTGGTCCTGAGAGCTCTCTGGAAAGGTTTCGTGAGGTAAGAAGTGATCCATCCTTATGGTTGTTCAGGCTTTCTCTATATGACTGCTGTTGTCTACAGTCCTTAGACTTTTAATTCTCAGTTCATGAACTACAGCTAGACCTTTTATACGTGTAGAATGTTTATGTATTTATTTTAATAATGCCCATCCCACTTTCTCCACTAAACGTGACCAAGGTGGCTTACAGACAGTTAAAACAATTTTAGAAGACTAATGCAAGATAATCACGTTTTAAAATAACAGCAGTAAAGTAGGTCTCATGCACACTGAAATAGCAGCTATAATAGCAATCTCTTAGCAGCCTCAGAACAACACTAAGAGTCAAATTAAAAAAATGTAAATTAATTGGCGCCAAAATAATCACCAGTAATAATTTAAAAGAGACCAGATGTCAAAATCCACCACACACAATCTAAACAACTTGATGCCAGAGATCTGTGGGGAGGGAGTTCCATAATCAAGGCACCTCACCCCAAAAATTCCTAGAGCGAAGCCCGGAGTGATCAGGCCACTTCAAATCCCCTGGTCCCAGACCACACTGGGCTCACCAGCACTTGCAGTTGAGTGCAGAAGTGAATTGGTAGCGTAAATACTTTAGTGCATGTGATGTTAAATTGCGAGTGACTGTATCCAATTCATGCCTTTGGAGGAAGGTCCACTGCTAGCAAAGAGGCTGGCCAAAGATGCAACTTCCTCATAGAATACCTGAGCCTCCAGCTATGAGCACAGATCTAATAGCACCCCCCAAATGTGAACATCATCTTTCAAGGGGATTGTAGTTCCATCCATGACTTCTCTGTTTCTAATTCAGCATAGACTCTACCTTGTTCAGTTGATTGGCCTTCATCCTGCACATTACCACCTCCCAGCACTTTTTTGGAACATCCTCTCTCTCAACTGATGCTAATATGGAAAAATATTTATTTGTTTATTTATTATTTGATTTCTAGACCTCCCTCCCCCACACAGCAGGCTCAGGGCGGGTTACAACAATGTATATTAAAACAATAAACATCGTTAAACATAAGACCATCCATCAGACCTATATAAGAGGGAATTAGATAAGCATATGGAGCAGAAGTCCATCAGTGGCTATTAGCCACAAGGTATAGAGAGGCTCATGGATCACTGCCTTGTCGTGGCGAGGGGGCTTGCGTGGTTCGATGAAGCTGTGGGCTATGCCGTGGAGGGCCACCCAGGACGGACAGGCCACAGCAGAGAACTCAGACCAAGCGTAATCCCCTGGAGAAGGAAATGGCAACCCACTCCAGTATTTTTGCCAAGAAAACCCCACGGACAGTATCAAAAGGCTAAAAGATATGACGCCGGAAGATGAGCCTCTCAGGTCGGAAGGTGTCCAATATGCTACTGGGGAAGAGCAGAGGGCAAGTACAAGTAACCCCAGAAAGAGTGAAGTGGCTGGGCCAAAGCCGAAAGGACGCTCAGTTGTGGATGTGTCTGATGGTGAAAGGAAAGTCCGATACTGCAAAGAATAATACTGCATAGGAACCTGGAATGTAAGATCTATGAATCAAGGGAAGTTTGACGTGGTCAAAAATGAGATGGCAAGACTGAACATCGATATCCTAGGAATCAGTGAACTAAAGTGGACAGGAATGGGCGAATTTAACTCAGAAGACCATTATATCTACTACTGTGGCCAGGAATCTCGTAGAAAAAATGGTGTGGCCTTTATAGTCAACAAGAGAGTGCAAAAGGCAGTACTGGGATACAATCTCAAAAATGACAGAATGATTTCGGTCCGATTCCAAGGCAAACCATTCAACATCACAGTAATCCAAGTCTATGCCCCAACCACTGATGCAGAAGAGGCTGAAGTGGACCGGTTCTATGAAGACCTACAACACCTCCTAGAACTAACACCAAAAAATGATGTCCTCATCATCATAGGGGACTGGAATGCTAAAGTAGGAAGTCAAAAGGTAACTGGAATAACAGACAAGTTTGGCCTTGGAAAGCAAAATGAAGCAGGGCAAAGGTTAACAGAGTTTTGTCAAGAGAACACACTGGTCATAGCGAACACCCTTTTCCAACAACCTAAGAGACGACTCTACACATGGACATCACCAGATGGGCAACACCGAAATCAGATTGACTATATAATTTGCAGTCAAAGATGGAGAAGCTCTATCCAGTCAGTAAAAACAAGACCTGGAGCTGACTGTGGTTCAGATCATGAGCTACTCATTGCAAAATTCAGACTTAAACTGAAGAAAATTGGGAAAACCACGAGGCCATTCAGGTTTGACCTAGATCGCATCCCTGATGAATATACAGTAGAGGTGAAGAATAGATTCAAGGGTCTGGATTTGATAGATAGAGTGCCTGAAGAACTATGGACAGAGGTTCGTGACATCGTACAGGAGGCAGCAATCACCACCATACCAAAGAAAAAGAAATGCAAGAAAGCAAAATGGCTTTCTGATGAGGCTTTACAAATAGCAGAGGAAAGAAGGAAAGCGAAAGGCAAAGGCGAAAAGGAAAGATTTACCCAACTGAACGCAGATTTCCAGAGAACAGCAAGGAGAGATAAGGAGGCCTTCCTGAATGAACAGTGCAAAGTAATAGAAGAAAACAATAGAATGGGAAGGACTAGAGATCTCTTCAAGAAAATTGGAGAAATCAAGGGAGCGTTCCATGCAAAGCTGGCCATGATAAAGGACAAAAACGGTAGGGACCTAACAGAAGCAGAAGAGATTAGGAAAAGATGGCAAGAATACACAGAAGAACTATACAAGAAAGACCTCGATGTCCTTGACAACCACGACGGTATAATCACTGACCTCGAGCCAGACATCCTGGAATGTGAAGTTAAATGGGCCTTAGAAAGCATTACTAACAACAAAGCTAGTGGAGGTGATGGTATCCCAGCTGAGCTATTCAAAGTCTTAGAAGAGGATGCTGTTAAAGTTCTGCACTCCATTTGCCAGCAAATTTGGAAAACGCAACAGTGGCCACAGGATTGGAAAAGATCAGTATACATTCCAATCCCAAAGAAGGGCAATGCCAAGGAATGTTCAAACTATCGCACAATTGCACTCATATCACACGCTAGCAAGGTCATGCTCAAGATCCTACAAGCTAGGCTTCAACAGTACGTGGATAGAGAACTACCAGAAGTACAAGCTGGGTTTCGAAGAGGTAGAGGAACGAGAGATCATATTGCCAACATTCGCTGGATTATGGAGAAAGCAAGAGAGTACCAGAAAAATATCTACTTCTGCTTCATTGACTATGCTAAAGCCTTTGACTGTGTGGATCACAACAAACTATGGCAGGTCCTTAAAGAGATGGGAGTACCAGACCACCTCACATGTCTCTTGAGAAACCTGTATAAGGGCCAAGAAGCGACAGTTAGAACCGGATACGGAACAACTGATTGGTTCAGCATAGGAAAAGGAGTACGACAAGGATGTATACTGTCACCTTGCTTATTTAATATATATGCAGAGTACATCATGCGAAATGCTGGCCTGGATGAATCACAAGCGGGAATTAAGATTGCTGGGGAAAAGATCAACAACCTCAGATATGCAGATGATACCACTCTAATGGCTGAAAGTGAAAAGGATCTAAAGAGCCTCTTGCTCAGAGTAAAAGAGGAGAGCGCAAAAGTGGGCTTGAAGCTCAACATCAAAAAAACTAAGATCATGGCATCCGGCCCCATCACTCCTTGGCAAATAGAAGGGGAAGCTGTGGAAGTAGTGACAGACTTCACGTTCCTGGGATCCCAGATCACCGCAGACTGTGACTGCAGCCATGAAATTAAAAGACGCCTGCTCCTTGGGAGGAAAGCGATGGCGAACCTAAACAGCATGATAAAAAGTAGAGACATCACCCTGCCAACAAAAGTCCGCATGGTCAAAGCAATGGTATTCCCAGTAGTCATGTATGGCTGCGAGAGCTGGACTATAAGGAAGGCCGAGCGCCGAAGAATAGATTCTTTTGAACTATGGTGCTGGAGAAGACTCTTGAGAGTCCCTTGGACTGCAAGAAGAACAAATCAGTCAATCCTCAAAGAAATCAACCCTGACTGTTCCCTGGAAGGCCAGATAATGAAACTGAAGCTCAAATACTTTGGCCACCAAATGAGAAGGGAGCACTCACTGGAGAAGACCCTGATGCTGGGAAAGATTGAAGGTCAAAGAAGACGGGGACGGCAAAGGATGAGATGGTTAGACAGTGTCA